CTGGAAAACCACGCCAACGGATGAAATGGACAACAGAAATGAACGAGTTTATCATCCGCACTTACTACACCATCACAAGACTCGAAACAAACATGACAGCATACAGACAACAACTACACCATAGATTCACACAACAATATCCTCACCTCACTGTCACCGAACAAAGGGTTGTTGATCAAAAACGAACAATTATACACAACAACCTTATCCCACAAACAACACTTGAACTTATCAAACAACAGGTTGCTGATCAAATACATCAACAGACAGAAACATTTAACATTAATGAAGATCACGTAACCTGTCAGGATAATCCAGCAACAAGCACTGATTACAGCACACACACAACAAGTACCACTAATGATACTGCAGGCACTTCCCCATCCATCACTGATAACATAGACATAGAATTAGTTAATACACTCTCACTTATATTTCAGGAAACACTCACTAAATATACAGGTACAGATCCCACACAAAGACCACGAATACCGAAAATCAACACGTCAAAGGTAGTAGGAAAAACACTAAATTATGTAAACACTCACTTACTACCAAACTACATTCATTCAATTTCTACACTCTCAGACATTCATACATTAGTTTATGCTGGGGCAGTCACAGTAGTAACACACCATGGACTGAAAATACACTCACAGACAGACACACACAAAACACAATTCTATCACAAGCCTGCCTGGCAGAGAAGAATAGAAACACAAATAAATGACATTAGACAGCAATTAGGCAGGCTGACACAATACACTAAAAACAACATAACACCCAAATTAAAGAAACAACTCAAAAACATTTTCAAGAAAATCAAAACACACACAAAACATGAACATCACAACACACACATTACAGAATACATCGATACACTAAAACAAAAACTCGCAGCCAAAGCACGTAGACTCAAACGATACAAAACATGTACACTACGAAAACAACAAAATAAATTATTCACAAACAATGAAAAACTTTTCTACAGACAAATCAGTACCAAAACAAACACTGATACACAGCACAGTGGCACACCAACAGAAGAAGAACTCACAACTTATTGGTCTTCTCTTTGGTCCAATGCTGTTATACACAATGCTGATGCAGGCTGGATCGAGGAGGAGAACAGAAACTTGCACAACATACCAACTATGCCCTGTGCTGAAATAAACATACACGACATTCGCTACGCTGTTAACAGAACACACAACTGGAAGACACCTGGTGTAGACAACATTCACAATTTCTGGTACAAAAAGTTTACATCACTGCACCAGGAACTAGCTAAACATCTAACACACATCATCATCAATCCACAAGACATGCCAAAATTTCTTACTCAGGGCATCACCTACATGAAACCTAAAAACAACAAAACCACAGACCCCACACAATACAGACCAATTACATGTCTTCCAACACTCTACAAATTATTGACATCCTGTATCACAAACAAAATATACAAACATGTTGAAGAACACGACATTCTTACAGAACAACAAAAAGGTTGCCGTAGAAATCACAGGGGATGCAAAGAACAGTTACTCATAGATTCAGTCATTCTACGGCAAGCACACAAACAACACAGAAACATACACATGGCATATATAGACTACAGAAAAGCATTCGACAGTGTTCCACACAGTTGGCTGCTACATATTCTACACATGTACAAAATACATCCATCACTCATTGCATTCTTCGAAAACACTATGCAGCACTGGAGAACAACACTACATCTCAGGGTTAGTAACACTTCCATACAAACAAACGAAATATTCATTAGGCGAGGAATTTTTCAAGGAGATTCCTTGAGTCCTCTCTGGTTCTGCCTAGCCCTGAATCCATTATCCAACATGTTAAACAACACGCAATACGGCTACAATATCAGACACGAAAAAACAACACAGTTTACACTCTCACATCTCATGTACATGGACGACATAAAACTTTATGCATCCACACAAAAACAACTTCATCAACTCCTACAAATCACACATTCATACACTAAGGACATACAAATGGAGTTTGGCCTAGACAAATGCAAAAAACTTCACATAGAAAAAGGAATCCTGAAGAAAGAAGATTTTGCACTTGGAAATGGAGACGTTATTGAATCCATGGAAGAGGGCGAGTTCTACAAGTACTTAGGATTCCAACAGGCCAAACTAACAGAACATACACAAATAAAGCAACGATTAATTAAAGAATACCAAAGTAGGTTAAACGCTATACTTAGAACACAGTTAAATGCAAAACACACAGTTAAAGCAATAAACACATATGTCATCCCAGTACTCACATACTCTTTTGGAGTTATACATTGGACTCACACAGATCTCGAGCAACTCCAAAGGAAAACAAGAACAACACTTACTAAGCATAAACAACATCATCCTAAATCCGCCACAGAAAGATTAACCCTTCCACGTAAAGAAGGCGGACGTGGCCTGATTGACATAGTTAACCTTCACTACAAACAAATACAGTCACTGCGAGAGTTTTTCTACAAGAAACAAGAAACATCACAGTTACATAAAGCAGTAACTCTAGCAGACTCAAATAACACACCATTAAACTTACACTCACATCATACAGACATGACACAACACATAAAAAGCATAGACACCATCAAGCAATCGTGGGCTCGAAAGGCACTCCATGGCAGGCATCCTTATGACCTGGCCCAGGATTTTGTTGACAAAACTGCGTCAAACAGCTGGTTAGATCGGGGATGCCTCTTTGGGGAGACGGAAGGATTCATGATTGCCATACAGGATCAGGTCATAAATACTAAAAACTACAGAAAACACATACTCAAAGATACAACACTCACAAATGACACATGCAGAAAATGTCACATCATGCCAGAAACTATACAACACATCACTTCTGGTTGCAAGCTCTTGGCACAGACAGATTACTTACATAGACACAATCAAGTAGCAAATATAATACACCAAGAGCTTGCAAAGAAACACAAATTGGCAGACATCCACGAACCATACTACAAGTATATTCCACAGACAGTATTGGAAAACAACACGCACAAAATGTACTACGACAGAGCCATAATCACAGATAAAACAATTTACCACAACAGACCAGACATCACACTCATTGACAAACACAATAAAATCACATACATTATAGACATAGCCATTCCAAACACTCACAATGTACAAAACACATGCACTGAAAAAATTAGCAAGTACACAGAACTTGCCCAGGAAATAAGGCATCTGTGGAGGATGGATAGGGTAGTTATTGTACCTGTTGTTCTCTCCTGTACAGGTGTGATACCACACATGCTACACAAAAGCCTGGGAACATTACAATTGAGTAGAAATACATACATCACACTACAGAAGGCCACTATATTGAATACATGCCATATTGTTAGGAAATTCCTTAATACAGACACTGACACACACATTTAATTTTAGTTTTGTTTTGGTTGCTATGCCTTGACTCTGGTCCGGCATAGTACGCAGCCACCGGTGTGTACCGAGTATAATCCACTAAACCCAACACATAATAATAATAATAATAATAATACTTACTTCAGTAGGAGCTTCATCTATAGTTGGAAATTTTTCTGTTAATGCTTTTTCTATTTTTCTATGATCTTTTTCATATTCTAATTCATTTTTTACAACTTCCGAAAGTAATTTCTATAATAGACGTAAAAGCAAATTATCCCCCAATACAATTTATAACTTAAAAATATATAATTTAAACAATAACATCTTTAACATAATTTTTTTACTAAAAATTTATTTATAATTCTACTTTTAGCACTCACTATATGATCAATATATTCTGGATTGTAAGATGTACCGGGAGGAGGAACCTCGACGGCCGGAAGCAGGGACGGCTTTTGATATCTATGATTCGGAACCTATATTAAATATAAATAAATAACTTCATTACGGTAATAATACACAAATTAGCATCAACATATTTAACCAATAACTATGTAAGAATTACAAAATTTAAACAATATTCTAATTTATTTTAAACCCTAATCTGATAAATACAAATATTGGTGACATCTTAATTCCTTATTATCAGAACATTTCAGCATACAGAATTGCTAGTACATCTAGTACGAAAACTAAGTAAAAAAGAATATATTAGTATTTTAATTCGCATTCATTACAATTAGAAATAATAACTAAATCACTATTTGGATAACTAAGAGATACGCAATTATTAATTTTTTAGATAATTATTATTATAAATTCTTTTAAAATATTAGACATATACAGTATGTAAGATAATATAGCAGATGTTAACTATTAATTTTGCCAGATCTACAAAATTCATTAATTTTACTGAAGTTTTAATATACCTTTGGTGGTCGCTTCTTAGTTGTTTCATTTATATAATAAATTAAATCTTTATCGAGTTCTTTCTCAACAGATGAATTATTCTCTGCAAATAAATTTTAATCTAATTTCAAATTTATTTTTTAAATACAAATTTAACAAAATATATAATTTGAATTCTCTAAAGTTTTTATATAGATAAAGTATTCGATTCTCGGATAATTACATTTATGATTTTAATATTAGTCAATTTACACTACTTATATTTTACTTAATTTATAATTAATGAAAAAATTAATTATATAATTCAACTAATCACAATTTTACAATAATCAAACAGCTTCAAAGTTTGAAAATAGCTGTAATTTCTGTTTAGCATAATTGGATGATGAAATTATAGAACATTAAACATGGTCCCTTTGAAAAAGTTGCATACCAAAGTTAATGATGACTCACAGGCTTCTTTGAGTAATTTGAAAAAATAATATGACAGACAAAATTTGTTACACAGAAAGTAAAGTNGACACTGACACACACATTTAATTTTAGTTTTGTTTTGGTTGCTATGCCTTGACTCTGGTCCGGCATAGTACGCAGCCACCGGTGTGTACCGAGTATAATCCACTAAACCCAACACATAATAATAATAATAATAATAATACTTACTTCAGTAGGAGCTTCATCTATAGTTGGAAATTTTTCTGTTAATGCTTTTTCTATTTTTCTATGATCTTTTTCATATTCTAATTCATTTTTTACAACTTCCGAAAGTAATTTCTATAATAGACGTAAAAGCAAATTATCCCCCAATACAATTTATAACTTAAAAATATATAATTTAAACAATAACATCTTTAACATAATTTTTTTACTAAAAATTTATTTATAATTCTACTTTTAGCACTCACTATATGATCAATATATTCTGGATTGTAAGATGTACCGGGAGGAGGAACCTCGACGGCCGGAAGCAGGGACGGCTTTTGATATCTATGATTCGGAACCTATATTAAATATAAATAAATAACTTCATTACGGTAATAATACACAAATTAGCATCAACATATTTAACCAATAACTATGTAAGAATTACAAAATTTAAACAATATTCTAATTTATTTTAAACCCTAATCTGATAAATACAAATATTGGTGACATCTTAATTCCTTATTATCAGAACATTTCAGCATACAGAATTGCTAGTACATCTAGTACGAAAACTAAGTAAAAAAGAATATATTAGTATTTTAATTCGCATTCATTACAATTAGAAATAATAACTAAATCACTATTTGGATAACTAAGAGATACGCAATTATTAATTTTTTAGATAATTATTATTATAAATTCTTTTAAAATATTAGACATATACAGTATGTAAGATAATATAGCAGATGTTAACTATTAATTTTGCCAGATCTACAAAATTCATTAATTTTACTGAAGTTTTAATATACCTTTGGTGGTCGCTTCTTAGTTGTTTCATTTATATAATAAATTAAATCTTTATCGAGTTCTTTCTCAACAGATGAATTATTCTCTGCAAATAAATTTTAATCTAATTTCAAATTTATTTTTTAAATACAAATTTAACAAAATATATAATTTGAATTCTCTAAAGTTTTTATATAGATAAAGTATTCGATTCTCGGATAATTACATTTATGATTTTAATATTAGTCAATTTACACTACTTATATTTTACTTAATTTATAATTAATGAAAAAATTAATTATATAATTCAACTAATCACAATTTTACAATAATCAAACAGCTTCAAAGTTTGAAAATAGCTGTAATTTCTGTTTAGCATAATTGGATGATGAAATTATAGAACATTAAACATGGTCCCTTTGAAAAAGTTGCATACCAAAGTTAATGATGACTCACAGGCTTCTTTGAGTAATTTGAAAAAATAATATGACAGACAAAATTTGTTACACAGAAAGTAAAGTTTCTTTTGTGTTATTGTTAACGAGCTTGACAGATTAGCGGGAAAATTAAAAAATAACTGTTAACTTGACAATTCTGTGTGAACATAAATTATATTCTAAGAATTCAATTCTAACCAACTGTAACTTGAATGTTTATTACAAGGTAATATGTTCAGATATTTGCCGCAACGAGCACCATAGTTCGATAAATTTGATTATTTCTACCAATTTTTACTGTCAAATGTTTTTGTTTATTAAAATCATTTAAAAAACTGGTTTGGTCCATTTTCTTTGCAAGTCATGTAAGTATTTTTTGTGGTTTACAGGTTGAACACCAGACATCACTGTTGTAGAATTAACAAAGTATAAATGGTTGTACTTTTGACAATTCTTTAATTTTTTTTTCCTATATACAGATTATGTATATGTAAGATGTCATACAAGTTCCCACTTAACAAAGACCTTTCATCTATTTTCCATAAGATCCACTCACATTCATTTCTCCTAAAACACACCGTTTTTCTTGATCTTTTCTTCTGTTAATCTTTATTAGTGTGTGCCCATAACCTATAGCAAGTCCCTCAAAGACCTGACCATTGATGAAGATTAACAAGATTACTTCCACCCAACATATTGATATATATATATATGTCTGTATGTCAATACATTTTTTATTAAATGCTTTTATTTAACTTGCTTTGTATCAAATCTTGCAACTCAAATTTCATCCACTTCTAATTAACATAGAAGATTGAAACTTTAAAAACATACTTAAGTCCAATGACAATGCATTTTAATAGTGTTTCAGTAGGATTTTATTAAAATCCAATAGCCATTACCAAAATCCAATAACCATTACCAAGTGTAGAATTTAATTGTGTGTGTAAATCCACTGTAGTATGTACGGTTTTCTTTCAAGGTTAGGGTGATCTCATCCACAATCTCAAAAAAAAAATAAAATAAAAACAGCATTTATTATTTTAATACTAAATTAAAATTATTATGTTAGAATTAATATTTTTATATAAAACAATTGTGAGGCACGGATTTTGTCGGATTTGTACGGGCCGCTTAAACATCTAAATTTTCAGTTAATTAACTTCGGAAAAAACCCGAGGAGTTTAAACTATATCGAATTTCACCGAGTTTGTAACAACGAACTGAGGAAGTTTACAGTTGAGTGTGAAGAATGCACCATCATCGTCAACAAGAGTCGATGACGTGTCAGCTCTCGCACGAAAAGATATAAAAGGGGAGATCACCGGAAGCTCAGGGCATCTGCACACGAAAGATATTCTTAGTACTTGTGTTCATTGATCTCGATGCCAAGGACTGTGATCCCATCGGAGAAGACATAGAAGACACCACACCCTTCCATACAGATGACGTTCGCCAACTCTCCCTTCCACCTAGAGGTATTTAGGGATTAGATTTTTTTAAAAGCGCTCTCTCTCTGAACTAGAAACTAGGGCAGTGACCTAGCTAAGAATGTAGTCGCCAATTTCTGTACATACTTTAATATAATCGCATTTAGCTTTAGTATTTTTGTAACTTAGTTGTATTAATTAATAAATGCTTGTTATTCTGTTGACCTGTCTTCTGTCTAAACAACACCTGCCAACTTACCAATGCACTCCCCACTCGATTTGCCCTCCTAGCCATCTGACGACGCACAGATCGGGTTTTACCAGCCTGTGCCGAGTAAGTGGTCAGTAGGAGATAAACCCCTGACCTGCGGCTTATCTCACACAATTAATATTTTCTTTTACTTGATCTAAGAACAAGTAAAGCAAAAAATAAAATAACGATAACACGGAGTCCCGATTGCCTAAAACAGGGGTGGCAACCTTTTTGAACCCGCGTGCCATACTGTAAGCATACTTAGGTTTAAAGACGTTTATGCGTGCCAAAGTTTTAAACTTTGAATAACGATATTTAAATAAATTAAAAGAAAATGCTTTAATTAAAATAAATGAAACAATGATTGAAAAAGACAAACGATAAATCAAAATTGTACCGTACGTTACGTGCCAGATAATTTCTCCTTGCGTGCCACTTTGGGCACGCGTGCCATAGGTTCGCCATCCCTGGCCTAAAACAATCTTTTTCATTCACGCTTGTTATCATTTAATACCAACTAGTTTTTCAAGTTTTGGCTATTTTTTTGCTCTTAAACCACGAGATGTTTAAAATCCCGAGAATTCCAGAATAAAAAAAAAAGTAAACTATAAAAATTATTTTTTTAATTATATTTCAATACATTTATGCAAATACATGCAGATTTTAAATTTAAAACAAATTGTTATAATAAAACTTCTTAATTTTAAAACTATTTTATGTAGAGTAAAAACTAAGCATAAACAAAAAGTAAAAAAAATATAATATTCATTATTAATTACATTTAAAAGTATATATATATGAAAATTAACATATCAAATGTAATAAAGATGTTTACATTTATCTAACCAGTGGTGAATCCAGCAAATGGGATGGGAACCATAATAACACTTATGTTAGTCTTATACCCTNTGGGTATTTTGGCATCCCATCAGAATTCTTCAAGTCAAATAATCTACCTTCATATAAGACTTTATGAGTATATAAAAATAATTGGTGAATATTCTTTAAGAAGTAACTAGGGCATATGTCCCATTACACTACTCTAAAACTGCATCTGCATTTAACTAACAAACCCCCTAATGAAGATAATTTTATGAACAAACTCAGAGAGAGTGAGTATTATACACATTTCCTATCTGCAACTATTTTGTTGCACTTATTTAAATGTCATATTAATCATACGATATCATTGTATTTGTATTTAAAATAAATGCAAAGTGCTGTATAAACTAACACGTAATATTATATCTATCGCAGTCATTGAATAGTTTCATTAACTTGTAATAAAATTTTAATTGCAATACTCTATAATCTATACTCATTTTACTGAAATTAAAAATTATGATAAATGCAATAAATTTCTGTTTCAGATTTGTAAATTTTTTTAAAAGTCAAGTTTTGAGATGCTTTCCTACAAATTGAGACAAGAAGATTTGAAAATATTCTAAAAATTGACAAATCTGAAACCTAATTATAACAAAACTAACTACAAACAAATCTTTTTGTCATAACAACTAAAGTATATACAGTTAATCATATAAAATTGCATTCATTTTGTATATAATTTCAATTTAAAAACAGAATTTTATATTATTCATATTAAAATAATTAAATGATTTACAAAAATTATTTAAAATTGACTGTTACCTTTGCTACTCCATATATCATACACGTCGTCATTTTCTTTTTTAATTTCAGAGTGTAAAACTTTAGCTTGTTTGCTTTGTTTCTTTAACAGTCTATTTTTATTTTTGGATATTTTGTTTCTCTTCTTAGACGATGGCTGAATAACATTACTAAATATAATTGAAATTCTTATTTTAATTCTTATCAAATAAAGCATTCAAATAATATCAATTAATTTTAATAAAGCTTAAAATATATATGGAATATTTAAAACCTATTAAGAAATACAAATTCTCTATATAATGTAATGTCTCTACAGATTTTACGATAAACAACATGAAACTCGTCGTCATCCATCACGATGATCTCCAAACACAAGATTTTTCCACTATATTATTTCTAATCTTCCAAAAACTTCAAAATGTTTGTAATGAATTACTAAATATTGTTGAATTATTAAGCAAAATAAATCAATTATAAGATTAAGTTATAAATATTAGGCAATATTACAATACAAAATTGTTTAAAACAACATTGTTAATTTTCAATTAAAATATGTATCTTAATTACATTTTTAATACTGTGGTGCCTCGTATAACGTACGCCTCGAATAACAGACGCTGCGAACAAAGGACTTTCTGTTTGGCCGTTATGTGACTCGAGCAACGGACTGGCTGCAAACAATGGACTTTCTGCAAATAAGTGCGAATGATGTTTCCACTCTTTTGCCGTTGCCAATTTGCTATTTTTATAATATATTAGTATTATTAGAATATATTATTAGTATATCTGAAGTACAGAGCTCCCGTTGGAATTCGGCTTGCTCCCTTGTTTATTACGTACATCACCTCAGTGCAAGGTATTTACATTTATTCAAGTGTTGTGCAAATCATGGCTTCTAAAAAAACAGAAAGATGATTTCAATTGAAACAAAGCAAGAAATCATCAGAAGGAGTGAAAGTTGACAAAAACTTCCTTGTCAAATGAGGAGAAGTTCAGGAGTTTACCAACACTCATTATCCAAACAGAGCTGAGGCCAACAGGATCAATGATCTCTACAATGACACCCCTGCCGTCATTTCCAACAGGTGTTGAAGAAGAGAGAGAAACAGACCACCTTGGACATGTTTTTCAAGAAGCCAGCTGCCAAAAAACAAAGGATGGAACAAGAGGAGTTGACTCTGCAAGCCCCAGTTAAAAATCTGACTCTGATTAAAAAACAATAAAAAGAGACAGGCTGCAATGTGTAAAAAGTCTGTATCTGTATGAATGTGTGAAGGAAGTGTTCCTCCACCTCCTCCTCACATCTGACTACCTAGCATAATTGGTGACTGCTCCATTTTCATTTTTTTTATGGTACAGTTATTTTATGCTACGGAACAAATTATATGTTTTAACGTGTATTTTTATGGGAAAATGCGTTTCGTATAACGGACTTTTCACTTAATGGACGTGCACCTGGAACGGATTAAGTACGTTATAAGAGGCACCACTGTATTTTAAAATGTTTTAGTTTTACATTTAATTAACAAAATGAAACTATTTGGAAATGGCAGGGCTTAAAGCGTCATGGCAGTGAAAAAAAAGTAAGAAAAGAGAGTTCACACTGAAAAAAGATAAAAGTGTTAAAGTGAACTAAAAGAGGCGTTATTAAAAAAACACACAAACATATGCACATTTTGTATTCAATAACATTGCATATGATATTAGATTGATTATTAAGTGGACTTAAAAAATTAAATATGAAAATAGTTAGGCTGAGTTTATACTCCAGAAAAGTAACCGGTAAGACTGCATTAAGCCAGAACGGGCCTGCATTAAGTTTTCATGTGCCCAGTATGGAGTTCCTACTGTTATACAGCAAAGGAAATGGAAGAGTAACAAATTTGAAATGCCATTTATTTCAAGGTATATTTTTTGATTTCTTGTTTAAAAAACTTGTAATTAAAAAAAGATTTTCTTTTGTTTAAGTCATGCTGCGGTTTCTGCACTTCTCTTGTTTTCTCCTCTTCATCGCACTGAATTTTCTTTGCACCTTCCAATAGCTCTTGGGCAAGACGTATCTCTTCAATGTTATTTTTCTCAACAGCATTTCATAGTCTATTAGTGGCTTCTTTGAAAATTCTAGACCTCGTTTTCCTTTGCATTTCTTTTTTTTTCCCCTTCAGCTCAACTTCAAGAGTATCAATTTTCTCTCTCTCCTGTTCAAGTGCCTTTATTTTATTTTCTTTTTTGCTTTCCTTCTTTTTTCAGTTCACTTTGCTTAGTCCAAAAAGGCCTTGTAAGTAGCATATGCATTGTGGGCCAACCCAAGTAACTTCTTTGTCATTGTGTCATTGACACCAAAAAGGCATTATTGTTATATACAAAGCGTCCATCTTTTATTATCAACAATGAATTCATCATTCATTCCGACAGAAGCTCTGTCTTCTGTCAGAATCCATCTAGAAATGGAGAACCCTTTTCAACATCTGCATTGCCATGATTGAGAGCCAACAACCCTTTGACTACTTTAGTGACGGTTGGGTATTTTGGCATCCAATCAGAATTCTTCTGGTCAAATAAGTGCTTATAATTGTGTTATTTTAAAGCAAATAACTTCTAAAGAATTCTAATTTGACCTGGAAATAATTTAATTTTTTCCATTGGTATTTTTTAATAATTTTATATAGTTTTATGACACCATGTCCCATATAATTTTTGTATTTTTTTAATTTTATTAATGTAAAAATGCAGAGAGACTGTAATATATAAATTTAAAAATTTTTGTTTATTAACTCGCATCTAGGCACGTATGTATCCAGCAAATACATGGCATTTTTTTTTATTAAATATCTCAAAAATAAATAACAGTTGAACTGCAGGCTTTCTAGTATTCCTCAACTGATATGTTCTGAAGCGATTCCCACAGTAGTTTTTAAACTTGTGATCTTTTTTCCAGAGAAATTTTACAAAAACCAATAACTTACCACCACCTGCAGTAAATTTTCTCGTAGCATGCTATACTCTCACAATTGTTATTTTATTAAGTCACAATTGTTACACATAACAATATACAATATTTAACCTTTACCATAATGCTGTACATTCTATCTTTTTCTCCTGGTTTCAATGACAGGATCAATCCCAATTCATTTCAAATAAGTTATCGCAGCTGTTTTGACAATGCGGCAATTTCTTGGCTTCAGTGTTATCCCTGCTGTCTCTCAATCAGTTGCATGATATGAAACAATTAAAATTTATGTTCATTACATAGCAATACCATTTAGTAATTGTGACCCAAACATTTATTTGGTAATTTTATCAATATTTTTTAAATGATTAAAAATAAAATTACAGAATTCATTACTGGCAATGCTAGTTGTCAAATCTAAAAGAAAACATTCCCCTGAATACAATAAAATAATTTGTTAATCATTCGACCCCACATCCGACAGAGAAAGAATTTTATGAAAAAGTAATAAAACGATTAGCAGTTTGTTGTCCTTCACAGTGGGGGATCAGCAGAGTGTATTACAGTACTTTCACGAGAGAAAATATACAAAGCTTTACTATCCTGAATTTGAAAAATAATACAATCCTGTGGAATTTAAAAAAATGACATCAATAAGTAAATGATGTAATTTTGTGTAAGCAAACGGTCGAGGTTCAAATAAAAGCCTAAACTTCAGTAGAAGTAAAAACAAATGTCAGCACATATCTAGGACAATAAATCTGAAAGGGAACAAAGATGAAACATGACGCCATGTAATTTATGCTAATTACCTTCTAGTATTAAAAAATTAAAATCTTCAATAAATTATAAATAAATTAAATATTTTTTTGACTAAGTTTGACTCGAAACATATCGAAACGCTAGATTAAAGTGAAAATGGCAGTTTTTCAACGTTAAATATTTACAAATTAATTTTTTTAATTTGGTGCCAGGTTGACTGCGGGTGTGCAATTTATATTCAAATGAGCATGCGCGTGACGGGTTTTAACTGGTTGTAACCAAATGCTTCATAGCATTTGTTTATATGTTTCTCATAGCTTGAATGTTGGAAGATTGCACGGAAGTCTTTACTAGATACACTGATGTTGGAAGCACACAACATGCAGAAAAGCTTTGAGTCAGACAACCTACAGAACTATTTGAGTTAGTTTTAAGAAACCAGCCCTCCCTAAGTGTGCACTTTGCCTTGCTCATGGTTTACCAGCAGCGTGCCATGACATTTGATGATAGGAAAGCTGTGTTTCTGTAAGAAGTCGACTTCCAGGGGCAATCAGTTAATCGTGCATCAGTCTGACTCACAATTAACTGATTGCCCCTGGAAGTCGAGTTCAATCTTATCAGTGTTTTTCACATGTATATAAATTTGTAATAAAATAAATAATGCGGTTATAATAAAAAAAATTAATTTTAATTAATTCAAAGTACGTCAAAATATGAAAATAATCGCACAATGTATATTTATATTTTAGAAAATACAGGGAAGCGGTGCTTCCACAGCTTCCATGGACGACACACCACTGTGGTTTACTTTAGGTTATAGTTTCTGTCGAAATGAAAAATGAAGGACACCGTTAGAAGGTAGAAAACCATGGTGCATGCTAAATATATAAGCACCCACTTAAAACCAAACTGTTGTCTTCGTCTAAAGATTGTCTCTACAGAAGTTATTAATATTTAGGATACTAGTTTAAAATCTTGTGCTTTCTGGCACGAGGTTCGCTTGATCTTTAATTTTACACAGTGCTAGAAAGATACAAGCTTTTAAACGAGTGTTCTACAATGTTTTATTTAATAATAACAGTAGAAATCAAATTTATTATCATTCAACAATTATTGTTTTCGGTTTATCTACGATAGTCAAGAATGAGTGATATCATCATTTAAGCTAAAGAAGAATAGTAGAAAGACCGTTGGAAAGGAAAAGTTTTCTTAGCAACTTACTTCAGAAAGTATTGGATTCTACAGAATTTTCCGTTGCTAAAACATAATACTACTGTTAGTATTAAATAAAATCTATTTCTTTCATTTGTCCATTGCACTTAAATAAATACAAATGACAACAGTTTATTATAAGATGCGCACAACATATCTCCACGAATATAAATTATAAAGAAATTATAATTCGGAAAGGCACGTGATTACCTTCCTTATTTGAACTTCTAGTAACTGAGCACGTTCTTATTTTAAAACATTCGAATTAAGAATCCAGTACGTTAAATTTGGCCTGAAGAAGAGCCCAGGAGGGGCATCGAAAGCGTTTGCCAATATTAGTTTGGAATTTTCATGCCAGTTAGTGGTTGTAGAATACATATATTTATTAAATACAAATGCTAAAAATAATGACAATTTTGAATTAAAAAATAACTACTTACACGTGAATTGGTGGAAGAACTTTAGATGGATTTTTTAAGGCAGAAAAGCATTTTAAATCATCTAAAATATCCTTTTTCTTGTTGGGTATTTTAACTGGGAAAATAATGTAATGATATTAGTTTCATATTCTGTATTACATATAATTTTACTTGTTATTATTCATTAGCAGTAAAAAATATATATAAAATGGAAGACAGAATATTTTAAGTGTCAATTTAATGTTAAAAAAATATAAATAAAAAGTAAGTTATTGTGTTTTTCCATATACTAAAAATATTTTTGAAAAATGTGAAAAAGTAAAATAATAGATATATATGAGAAGAAAAAAATTGGTACAGTGGAACCTCGGTATACAACCTTAATCCGTTCCTGGTGTTTGGACTTATACCGAATAGGATGTATACCAAACCAACCTTTCCCATAAGAAGTAATGTAAAAACGATTAATCCGTTCTTATGTAAAAAAAATGGCTGGCTTTAAACACCTCGCTATCCTGGCTAATTCCTGGTTGATTCTTCATGAGATCAGCATGTATCTTTTTAGCTTTCTCACAAATAATTGCTTCTGTTGCTACTAGGTTTGCCTTATGTTTCGCACATTTCAAGTGATTTCTAATGTCAGTTCTGATACGCTGTCGCCAGCACACTGTTTTTCAGTTATCCAAAGCAAAAGCAATTTCTCATATGATCTAATATCCTCTATCTCTGTTTAGAAATTGATTTAACCCCTTTCGCAACGTTAGCAGATTTAATAATGTCTTTATTTTTCACGATTGTTCATATCATCGTTCTCGGAATACGGTATGCAACAGTTAAGTCTCAAACACGCATACCACTTTCATATTTCTAAACAATCTCCTTTGCTTTTCATTTGCCTTTTTGCAATTCATCATTAATAAAACTAATAAAATTTTACTTACAAATTAAAATCAGAAGAAATTTAACAAAGTTATAAACTGTGGCAGCGCGAAGTTTAGTCTGGCCTACTACACCGATAGTGCTACTTGTTTACAGATGGCGCATATAATTGAATTAAGTCGTATACTGAACAAGTCGTATACCGAGCAAAATTTGTTTTGTCCAAACAGGACATATTCCAAATTGGACGTATTCTAAAGCAGACGTATACCGAGGTACAGGAGGCAAATATCTCACAAAGAGTCGCACATACAGGTATGGTTTCTTTGATTTTTTTGTTCATGATGGGAGTCCAAAATTCTAGATGAGTGTGAAATCCCGCATTCAGAGCTTGAATCTTACCTTAATGTCTGCATACATCATATTGTTTGGACAATACAATGGTTTCAGCATTCATTGCAACAGTTATGTCAATTGTCAAGAGCAAAAACTCACTCAATAATTAAACTATGTAATTAAATTTAATTTGCAATTTAAAATTTTTTAGTTTTTTAAAAAAGCTATACATTTTCTTTCCTGTTGTTTGATATACAAAAATAAGTCATTCATTGATGTTCTTAACACAATTTAAATCAAAACATTTTAAAGATTCAAAATGCAACTATAATCAATTTTCCAAATATAAAAGAAATATTAATATAATATATTCATTATACAGTAGAGCCTCGAAAACTCGGCACTCCGGATAACTCAGCCACACCCTGGCAGAGCAAAAAAATCCTTAGTTAATTCATTTTCATGATAAAGATAGCTTTATGCCTCATAAAGTATTTTTCTGAGGTCTGTCTTATCAGGTAAATTACTGTACAGTGTATTCATTAATTTTCATTTTCATGTAGTAAAGGCTCTATGCCTTCATAAAAGACATACTTTTCCTTTGTTCAAGGGTATCTGTTGTATTCTCAAGTAAACAATACATACAAGTACAGTACAGTATTTTCTGAAGAAACACTCATACTTATTCTTTTTTTAACCCCATTCCCGATAACCCGGCATTTTCACAAACTCGGCCACCCTTCGGTCCACATTAGACCGAGTTTTCGAGGCTCTACTGTACTAATAAAAAATATACATTATATAGTAAACAAAACATCTAAGTAATGAAATAAAGACAAACACATAGAAAGATGAAAAATTATAATTTTGTTATTGTATAGTTTTCATAACATTTACAATGGAGTTTACTAGATAATTACATTTATAGACATCAGTTAATATTTTCAAGCAATGTTATTAAATATATATTTATTATTTATTAATTAGTTATTGAAATATAATATTTTATTTGAAAAATTAATATATTGTATCATTCTACACTCAAACTTACCTTTAAATTCTTTATCCTTATCAATGAAAAATATTTCATTATTTGGTTTTTCTGATACAGGACCACTATAAAAAAAGAAACCATTTAATTTAAAACATTTTTCATAGTCAAACTACAATGCAAGATGAACCTAAAAACTTCAGGGCACAAATTTATAAAGCAAAAATTATCCAATTTAGTGTTAGCCTTCAAAATACATTCCTCCATGATCTATACAAATTTTTGCATGCTCCAGTAATTTACTTATTCCTTCGTGAAAGAATGTTTTTGGAATGCTGTTTAGTTTTCTGTATAGCCTCTCGGATTTCCAAAATTGACTGAAATTGTCTCCTTTTCAAAGTAAATTTTTCTTTGGAGAACAGGGGGCCCCAACTGGTCATTTCATGTTCCCTAAATTAAAATTGAAAGCTAACACTACATTGAATCATTTTTGCCAAAAACTTTTTTATAAATTCAAATTTAATAAAAATACCTTGAACATTTTATTTATTAAATATGTTAAATTGTGCAAATATATTAAACTAGAAATTCCCCCGTCAAGCATGACGGAATACTTTTTACGAGAAAGTAGGGATCGAAGAATTGAGAAGAGTAGAGATTTCAAGAAATTCAAGAGTTATTAATATTTCTACAAATGAATTAGTTTATACCAGGGGTGGGCAAGCAAGAGTTAGGTGGGAGCCGAAATGTAGGTTTTGCAAAATGCGTGGGAGCCGCAGTTCTGTACTTTTTTATTCTGTACCGCAGTTCTGTACTGCGATTTTATTATGTAATATAAATATAACATAAAACAAATATTGAATTTTTTTAATAAATATATTTTCACAAAATTGTGGAAATAAAATTGTAAAAATAATAATAAAAAGCAGAAATTAACACTTTCGGCAGGAGCCACATTTGTCCACGGTGGTTATAGAGAATTCACTTACACAAATAGTTTTAGACCTTTAAAACAATATTAAAATCTTTCTTTATAAAATTACTTTATATACTACATTCTGATCAAACACTTTTGTCTTTTAAAAGATTTCCTTGCTGTCTTCCTTTAGTAATAAACACCTTAATATTGTTTTGATGATCATCGTTGTGATCATGTTTCTGAAGCCCTTGATAAAGCCATTTCTTAATTCCATGTTGACAGAATAAAGATGAATTGTATATATAGTTAGTTGGTTAGATGAGCATTAATACTTTCTGGATAATGGGCTCATTAGATTGTTACTTTCGATTGTATAATAGAATGTCACATGGTCACTGTGAAAAGATTTTTAAAAACTGTTGTAGAAGTGACACAATGAGGCTATCTTTTTTTTAAAGTTTAAATTTAATGAAGTATGTTTAAAATACACCATTTGCCAAAATATTTAAAGATGCAACTTAGGAAAATTTCTTCATCAAGAATGAATGTCACAAAGTCACTGACGTCACTGCAATGTAAGTGCAATCATGATCTCAAATTGATAAAAATGTTCATTATATAGCTAATATTTTCACAAAATAAGTAGCTCATACTTTCCATCGGAACATAAAACAAATATAACCAAAATTTCATCTGGATTGGACAAAAATTGAAGGAGTTATAATTCATACACACATACAAATGATGACTTTTATATTAGTAATGATAATAGTTACTAAAAATTCATAATTCTAATCATCCTCTCAAAAATGTCCACACAACTTTAATAAATTAATTTTAACTTTTATTTTAGCCTTATTTCTCAAAAGTTAATAGTTTATATTTATCATCCAACCAGAACTGTCAAATGTTCTGGTTTGTACAGTGTCCTGAATTATAATAATAATAATAATAATATCTTTATTTATCGTAAAAGGCTTTTGCCTGTTACAAGGGCGTTCTGATCTATAAATTACATTAATATTTTGTCACAATTATCATTTAATAAATTGTTTAACATAGTTATATAACATATAAATCGTGTTAGTATTAGCTCTGTCAAAAGTCTTAAACATTTCCATCTCACTATTACAGTTAGCCAGCGGTCTCATCTGAAGCCTTTGTAGTTTAGTGTCCTGAATTATAGTCAAATCCTAACTCCCATACTATCTATTGAAAATCCTGCTTAGATAACATCCCACTTTACATATTAAAATTTTACAAAAATACCAGAAAAGTTAAATTTTACCTAAAAAAAATCATACATAATTTAATTTCTCATTTTTTCCATTCTTTCTCTCAAGTGCAATGGGTGCACAAGCACAGGACCCTGATGTGGGGTATCAAAAATTGATCAGTGTTGTTATTATTTACACATTTTAAATTTTGCCACCATGGGGCAATTCTATGAAGTTTTTGGTTAAACGTAAAAGTTCACCAACCATTTATGTCATATTTTTTTCCGAAAAAAAGGGGGAGACCAAACTAAAATCTTGCACAGGGCACATGAAAAGCTATTTACAACACTCCTTGAGCCTTTTTTCCAGATTTACGTATTTGACTAAGCCTACAATGGAGACCACCAGATGCTGCGGGATAGCAGATGCAACATATCCACGACAGACTTCCCATGAAAAATTCATAGGGTTGCTAATCTAAACCCAAGTTCTTCAGCGCATATCTTTATTGGCAGTCAAAATGACCTAATATAGACGGCAACACCTTGATTGTTTTCAAAGTATTTACATTTAAAATGGAACTAAACAAGATATAAGTGACATAATAAGTTTTGTAGATAATTTGAGACCCATAACAGAAGATAAAACAATTTTTAATGCTGATCATATATCATTATGTGGAATAACAGCATAAAATGAGAATGAAATTACAATTGTTAGATAATGTTTACAAGCAAGCAAATTATATAGAAATCTTCACAAAATTTCAATAAAATTGTCAAAATATGTGTATGAATGTACAGCAAAATGTAGCTGTAAAGTTGGCTAAAGCAAAGAACAGTAAACATACTGTTGCAATTTTAATATATGGTATGTAAACAGGTTTGCATTTTGTTTATAAAGTCAAAATTAAGTAACTTACAAGTAATTTTCTAATTATTTTACTGAAATAAATTGCACAAATTATGATACACAAATTTAGAGAAGGCACAGGATTCTGTTAAAATCTATTAATAAAGCAGATTATAGCAAAGCTAAGCCACAAAAGTATTTTTGGTATCTCAAGCTAAAGATAAAATGATTAAAAACAGCAGCCGCATATGAGGTTATTCCAGAAAAAATTTTAATGTTACTATTTCAGTCTCTTAGATTGACAGTGGTGTAAGTCTTTTCTATTTTTGAATACAGTAGTAAAGTCTAATTTTCAATAAAAAGTGAATTCATTAAATGTCAAAACTTAAGGAATTAAACTAAATTACAAATAAGTGTTCTTTTTCTTCAATGATAACAGAATATTGTTGTTTTTAATAACTTGTAATTTTAGCTAAGGACACGGGTTAAACTTTACCTACGTGCACCGTCATGGCCGCACGGTGGGGACCCACGTTCTAACCAAACATATTCTAATAAATTACCAATAATACGTTAGGTTAGGTTAAAATGTGGGTCCCAATTGTGCGGCCGTGACGGTGCACGTAGGTAAAGTTTGACCAGGACACGAGTGATTTACAACATTTAATTAAATACAGAAATATTGGTACCTAATATTTTACTTTGCAATGTAATAAATTACAATATATCAATAGATATATGATTTAATATGACTTGACAGATGAATAATAATCAATTTTCGACCACTTGAATAAAATTCCGTCAAAACATGTTCGAGAAAATTGATTATTATGTAGTGACGAAGGAATATTGTAAGTTAAGAATTTTTTACCCAGATCTTTCTTCTAATCGTTTATCTTCCAAGAATTCGTCGACATCATCGATATTGCAATGCTTCTTCCAGCCTTTCTTCTTATTTTTACTAAATCGTACTTTCGAGGATTTCTTAGTAACTTCCATCTTGCCCACGTGTTTAACCTCCATTTTACAAAAGGCCGAATATCGTTATTTACGTAAAAATAACCGCCCAAAAGTCTACATATAAATTTTAGAAATCTCTTTAATTATTACTACATTAATTTTGTAGAGTTAAAATTTCGCATTTTAATAATGCGTGAAATATTTTATTAATTAATTTGTAAGGAATAAATAACTAATACCGTTCACAGCCCAGCACACGTATTTGTAAAATCTAAGTGACTCGTACAACATGGAATTCATATAAAACAGAATAATCAACAGTGTTATAGGGGGGTCGACTTGTACCTTATTTCGTTACAAAGGGTTACAAATAACTTTTTTCATTTCCTGGAGCTTTTCTGTATAAAATCTTGGTGCCAAGAAATTGGCTGGGTGGTAAGGATCGAAAGCGGTCGGTAGGACGTGGTATTTTTTGTGTGGATCCGATTGCTATGAGAGTTTCTTTGGGGGTGTTGTTGCGTGTGCGTTGTTATTGTATGATGGCGGTGGCCTTAACGTAGCGTGAACAAGTTCTGCTGTATAGTGGTGCGCTTCGCCGTAGTCGATGCGTGTCGAGGTTTCCGCCGAGCGGGACATTTCGGCATGTGGGTCACCGTATTGTTTGCATCGATGGTCACTTTTACAGTTAGGGTTTTGTGTGACCGAATCGCCCGCAATTGTGGCATTGCCGTAAGCGTTCACGGTTCGATACTGTTGGTAAGGAAAAGGCGTATGAGCTCTGATATGTTGTTGGCTAGGAGCGATTTTGACTATGCTTGTGGCTAAACAATTGCCGTCTAGTATCCGTTTGAATTGTTGTATGTTAAGTGGGATGAAGTCGTCTTCCCCAAGTTGCTCAGCTATTTCGTGAGCGCTATAGTCTATGGGATTCTCTTCATTAAGATACTTTTGGCGTAGAAACCTTTTGTTATCGTTAGCTGTATGGGTGTGTCGTTAATGGTTCGGAGTTGCAGGATTTCAGGTAAAGCAGTTTGTTTCACGGTCAGGTATGTCCGTTTTGTTCTGGTCGTGGAAATGTTTAAGATTTTGTTGTGTTAGTGTGATGCGTTTGAGATGGTTTTCCGTCGATGTGGATGCCATCCCCGTTGCGCTTGTAATTTGCATGTTGAGTTTGTGAGTGTTATGTTTTAAGTTCTCAGCAGTAAAAGCGACGTTTTCTCATAACCTCCCGACCTATTGTCTCGATTTCATCAGTTGAATATAGCAAGGAACTGCAGGTTTAGGCAATCGTCGCCAGTTCTCCGATCGGACCACTCATTTTTCCGTGTTCTAATTTACGGATAACCTGTGGATAGGATAAACGGTTATTTAGTAGTTAACTTAGTCGTATCTGAGTACTTTACATCCGTCGGACTGTCTCTCAGTCCTCCATCCAGAATTCGATCGCCCGCGTGACCTACGTTCTAATCCGAATCAACACGCCGTCTCGGCTTCCGTATCAACCTAGACACGGTGGTGTCATCCCGACACTAAACACGTGCCGACCCTCTGGTCACGGGTCGATAGTGGCGTGCTGCCGATCGGTAGGCGTTTGTCTCGTAGATTCACCGGTATCGAGTGACAGACGTCTCGCCTAGATTCGGGATTTATGGAGGGTGTATCTACCCGACACTCCCCCTGTCGGTCTGAAATCAGACAGGTGTGAAGACGATGTCGCACTTCTCTTCTGTTCGAGATGGTATTATTTTTACTATCCAATTTTCCAACAGTAAAAAAATTAATTAATTAATTTTTCACACTCATTTACTCTTCCCCTAATTGAAACCAATCAAAACATCACCCGGCGCCATCTTGCGTTTTCGAGTCCCTATAACACATTTTAATTTAACGCCATCTAGTGTAGTGTTGTTAATTTTCTCTCTTCTCTTCGTATTCTCCAAGATTGTTTACATGTAATATGTTTTACATTTATAGTTTGTTTATTAATTAATAACGTTACCTTATTATACAAATGCATTTATTTCTTTTTCATTCATTGAAAACTTTATAAAACATTTCCATTTAATTTTTATTTATTTGTTTTTAAATTAGTATTGCATATCGTGATGATGGATGAAGAATTGGTCGCTTGATTTATTTGATGCCGACAGATCATTCCAACCTTTCGCTTGTTTATCGAGGCCTTAAGCCAATATCCCAACAACGAAATATCTCTAGCCGCATATTTATTTCTCTTACAAATATATTTTAATAGTAAGTGACCATTTTTAAGTGATTTACAGACCAAATTCTAAAAATACATTAAGAAAACACCCATTATGCAATATTACAATACATTACATAAGCTTTATATATAATATAAGTCTTGTGTAATGTATGTAAGGCTTTAGACTGCAATTTTTTGTTTATATAATGGTCAAATATAGTCTAAATACAAGTCGACCCCCCCTATAACACTGTTGATAATTGCGTTTTATATGAACTCCATGTTGTACGAGTCACTTAGATTTTACAAATACGTGTGCCGGGCTGTGAACGGTTGACGTATTTGTAAAATCTAAGTAACTCGTACAACGTGGAGTTCATATAAAATGCAATTATCAACAGTGTTATAGGGTCAACTGTATAACAGTCGCACTGCTAAAGACGACGATAATGTAAATATGGCGTGCCCGGTTCCGCAAAGAAAATCATATATTTTCAAACGAAATAAATACTCGCGCCCGAGATTATTTCTAATTGTAATTTGTAAATTATTATTTGTTTCTTAAGATTTAGACATATTTCCATATATACTACGGTTTTACAACTTAATGACGGCGCAGAAATATTTTTAGGTCTACGTAATCTTATCTGGGACGATAACTGCATTTATCAATTAATAAATTGATTCGTATACTTTCTTGTAAAGAGCAATCTAAGTTATTTATAATTTTATACTTTTCATTTTTATAAAAAAAGATGTGACGACGAAAACTTGAACGGCAAAGTAATTCTGCTTTGTTTACTCTTTACTTTCCTCTAATCGGGATAATAAGGATCGTAATAGGGATGAACCGTACGTTTGTCGTTCGTTCTTGACCGCCGGATCCGTTGTAATGCAATACGTTTTATAATTCTGCTAATGCTTATTAAATTTATCGGTATCCAATACCTTAATGTTTCGTATTTTTCTGACAGCATCGTTAAAACAAGCAAACTAATTAGTACTAACAGATTATAACATCATAATCAAATTCAAAATACAAACTAAAGAGGATGTATTAAAACTATCCACAGATTATATGAAATTATGTTTCCAGTTCTTTCTTGCTGTACAAGAGATTTTTGATTGTTCTTTAAAAGAAACAATAAACTAAGATACTTCTATAAGTATTTTTAAGATTTACCTTAAAAATATTTAGAGATTTTTAGATTAATAATGTGCCAAATGCTTCTGCATAATTATCATTATAACTTTTGAAAAATTAACAAGTTATATAAATTAGAAATAATGTAACTTTATACTTCTTTCATTTATCAAATCATAAATTATGTATTATGCATATTTATTATTCTAAAATAATTTTGGATGTTTTCTTATGCTATTTTTAAAAATTTTAAGAGTTACAAAGAAAAATAATTATAATAATGTCAAAATAGAAGAATTTATTAATTTGTAACTGATAATTCCAGTTGTATACTAATAAATTATTTATCATTTTAATATGATAATTGATAATAGATAGTAGAATTTTTCAATTTTTATATGACATGCATGAAAATGTGTTGAAGATATAAAAATAATTTCCATAAACATTTTAGATTAATAGTTTCACATATACCACGTATAGTAGAACCTATTTAAAACAGAACGTGACAGTACTATTAACGTTGCACTATCTGGAACCTGTGACCAGCACTCGATGTGTATATACTATATATCGCTGTTAACAAATGTTTTCGAGCAATCCCTTCGCTCTTCTTCGGGTCGACTGAAATTCCCAGACGGAGTGTATGTTATTTGTTGGGATCGGGTGTCGGTTCCGAGGGGGTGGGTCGTTTCTGGCATGTGCGGTTGTATGGTGGGGGAGGAAGCGGCGGGTTGGCATCCAACAATGATTGCCAGGCTAGAGACAGGGTTAGCGACCCACCCCCTTAGAACCGACATCTGATACCAACAAATAATATACACTCCGTCTGGGGAATTTCAGTCGACCTGAAGAAGAGCGAAGGGATCGCTTGAAAATGTTTGTCAACAGCGATATATAGTATATACACATCGAGCGCCAGTCACAGGTTCCAGATTGTGCAATGTTGATTTCACCCCAGTGCTGAGAGTGGAACAGTTCCTATAGACAGTACTATTTTAGTAGAATTCTGTTTTTTAGAAGATTAGATTTGTATAATTACTGTCATGGAGAATTGCGAAAAAACTATGGTGTTGTATTTTTACAACTAACTTTCAGAGAATAAAAAGCATTTTTACCAAAAGATAAAAATGGTACATTGTAACTCTGGTTTCTAAGAAGTTAACCAAGATCTGAACCAACAAGTTACAGCATTAATTATGATTTAAAACAGTGACAAACAACCCTTTCTTGGATGTAAGCTGCAAGTGAACTTCTTAGGTTTCTGACGGGCCACACGCCAGAAAAAATTTTCTTAGAGTCGTAGGCTTTAAGCCTGCCAAGTAGCAACATACTAATAACCACAAGTATACTAGGTACTAAAATAATATATTCTAATAATATATTATTTTAGTTTATTTCAGTTTTAGTTTAATATTTGGATGTATATTATTTCGAAAAAGTGCCGAAATTTGAGGATATGTAATTTATAAACTATATATAACTTGTAATATATAGTTTTTTTACTGGTCAAATTTAGTTTGAATGTTCCGTCACGATTATCAGCATAATTAGGGTTGCATAATAGCACAAAGCAGAAAACAGATATAAAATTAAGTTGCTAAAGCCTTGGGCTTAGCAATGTAATTTGGTATGTGGGCTTTAACCACATATTAGGACCTCGTGCCATAAGTTGTTGCACTAGTTTGTCACTGATTTAGAATTTAACATCTATTATGCCTAAAATTCTGCTTATTCGGTTTATGTTACTCAATTGATTTCCAAAAAATTCTTCATTTTTGCATTAGACAGTTTTTCAGCTTATAATAGTATTTTATACAGCAAGTCATTCTGTTTTGTCATTTATTTCCCATTTAGGTAGGTTTCTGTTTTGTAGAAGTCCATTTAAGACAGGTTTTATTGTATATAGATATGCATGCATTCACCCGTTTGTGTTTTTATTATATACAACTTCAAACTGAATTTTTACCTCTGAAAACTCTAATCAAGAGTTCTTATTACTAAGAATAATGAAAATACTTAATGAAAATCTTCCATTCATTTGAAAGATAATACTAGATTTATATTGCAATCTTAAATATCTTAAATTTTAGATAATATATTTTAGTAAATTATATTCATTTAATTTTTCAAGTTTTGTTCTGTTAAATTAGAAATACAGTAGATTTTCAGTTTAATGCACTAATTGGATGTAGGGTTGTCTTATTACTGCCAAAAGCCTATTAAATCAAATGTATTTTAAAAACGTACAGTATATTCATAACAAATATAAATGTATAGGATGTATTAAAATGTTACGACATATAAGCACGCATAAGATATCATTATAATGTACATTGTAATGATATTTTATGCTACAAATAATATATTTACTCTATTCATGAATTTAAAAAAGAGATATTCTAAAGGTTGTCTGTAAAATTTGAAGTCCATTAAATCAAAGGTCTATTGTCACTATCTTGTATTATGTTGTTAAAAATTTACACACGAAATTAGTTAATCTTGGTGTTATACATTAAATTGCACTTTACACAAAGCATTTTTTACGCTTAAATATTCCTAACAGGTTTACATAAATTAGATAATTTAATCTGAAAATTAAAATAAAATTTCATTGAAAAAATTTATATTAGTTTAGACTTTTATTACATTATTTGATTTATTATGTTTGGAATATTTTTCGGTGGATGATTTTTTGTTTATTTATTGAATACTTTAATTATTAGTTTTTAATTTTTCTTTTATATAATTAATCAATATTGTGATTGTAGATTATGTGCAATATTATACACCAAATATTATGAATATTGATATCGTAGTTCCTCGGAAGAACGAAAAAGTGCCGAAATTTGAGGATATGTAATTTATAAAATCAGTAAATGATTTTAATTAGATTTTTCAAATGAATTTTTATCAAAAATCTTATCTGCGTATTCTCGAATTATTATTTTTTATAATCAATATCAATTTTTTATAATCATTATTTTTTATAATCAATATTAATAGTATAAATTATGATAATTATTTTTGCATGAAATTGTAATATTAATATTTATTTTGGTACAATGATAAGTTAATTACAATAAATATATAAGAGTAAAATCACAATTTGAGGTAAAATGAATAATAATTATTATTATTATTACAGGAGCACTATGCCACGTCAAAAGACACCAATTTCGCTTCGTCGTTTGGGTTTAGAAAAATTAGCTCTGTTGATAGAAAGATTAAGTATGAAAAATACAGATGAATCAGCTGATGGACAATCATTAAAACAAACTGATTGTGATTCTTATTTTATTCATTGTCCTGGAACAATTATGGAAGATTTAATTGATCTTCTTCATTGGCAACAACCTTCTGGTATTGATTTTTTTCAATTAGAGCAATTACTTGGTAGTAATTTGCGTCGGTTGTGGTTACATTATTCCGATTCTAAAAGCTTTAAAGGCATTCCCCTGGGTTTCCAGAGAATTTTACGTCGTCTAGCTGTTTGTGGTGAACAAATAGTAGATCTCTCTTTGAAAGGATGTATTTTATGGAACAACGACGAACTTATCAAAACAATGAAAGTACTTCGCAATCTTCGTCGTTTAGTATTATATTCCAGCAAAATAGACGACGACGTTTTAGAGACAATTGGAAATTCGTGTTTTCATCTAGAAGAACTACAGGTGAGTGGTTGGAACATTACCGATTACGGTCTGAGAACTTTAACTGTTAAACCTTTGCCATTGAAAGTTATAGTTGTGGATACCGATAGAAACTATTCTCCAAAAATCACAATTAATTCTATTATTTATTTGCTTCAACGATTACCACATCTCGAAATATTTAAAATTCCTCTTCTAACAGAAGCAATTGTTAAACTCCACGAATTGAATCCAGAATCGTCATTAGGTTTACGTTTGTATCACGACGATTTGGACGGAGAAACACATACCAAAGAATTGATGAAATCTGTTGTGCATTGCTGTCCTCTCATTAATGAATTGTGGATAAATGTTGCAGATGCAGAAACCTTGTTGACTCTAAAAGGTTTAAGGTATCTTACTTCTTTAGTTGTTACATGGACCAATGTTGAGATGTCAGGCCATGTATTTATGGATGGACTAATTCCTGTATTAGAATTAGTTGGAAGTAGAATCACACATTTAGAAATTTCGTTAGATGAAATTGATTTAAGTCTTCTCGATAACTGTTGTCCTATGTTGGAAGAATTCGAATGTATGCGTTTTACAAAATTAAGAAATAGTAAAGGACAGAACAAACCTTTTACTTATCTGAAAAGTTTAAAACTGTTTCCAGAAGAAACAAATTATATTACTCGTGACAATCTCATCTATTTACTTTCCGGATGTCACAATCTTCAAACTCTTTTCATAGGTTGGTGCGATTGGTGGAACGATCAAACTATTTATCAGGTTTTACTTAAGAATCCTTTGAAACAATTAAGAGAGATCGAAATGAGTGATTTGTACGGTGTGACGGTGAACGGTTTGCAGCTTCTTTTACTGGCAGAAAGCGATTTGCAAACAATTAATATTTTATATTGCGATTCTATAAGTTTACGTGATATAAATATTCTTAGAAATCTCGTTAAGGCTCTCAATTTGGACGTGCAAATTAAATATTACGAATGATACTATAACACGTTATTTAAATTTATTCTTTGCAAAAGAGCATTCCTTTTTTTAGATATTTAAAATAAACTGTTATTAGATACTTTATATCTTGAAAGATGATAAAAATTAAGTATAAAAAGCAGATATGAACATAGGTAGTTCTTTGCTTCATACAGAAATTATCAGCTGTAAAAGATTTCAGCGGAAATTGATTGGAAGCATTATTTCTGCAACAGTGATTGGTTAGAAAGAAAAAAAATAGGTGGAGATATGTCCAAACTACCTATTTTTCGTATTTGAAGCGTTAATTCTGTAACTGTATTGGCTAGAAAAGAAAAAATAGGCGGAGATACGCCTAAATTGCCTGTTTTTCTTACTTCAACTAACAGTTATCAAGCTAAATTATATCTCCATTCAAATCTAAAATAAAATTATTTTTAAAAAAATTAATTTGTCTACNTTAAAATAGATTTTCAATTATCAAATTTACTTACAACGAATTTCCCTAAATACATCATTATCTGCCCTTTGAATTTTGATAATTCTTATTTATATTGTGAAGCATCAAAATTATGGAGCACTTTATGCTAACAAATTTAAAAATATAAAAATTTAATGAATTCGAATGAACAATTTATTTTAAGAACTTAATAATAATGTTAATAATTAAAAAATAATCATTAATCAACGTCATAATATTCATTTTTATATTAATTTTAATTTTCACAAAAGGACACAAAAAACTTTGACAAGCTAATGCACGTGTAAACGGAAACGTCATACAAAATAAAAGAGAATAGAAACCACATGTCGTTGTCATATTAATTACATCTTGGATAAGGTCAATAAAATAAACTACACGCTGCTAAAATGTGCTAGGTGCAAATGGGGAATAAATCATAAAGCTTATAAAACTCTATATAATTGTGGGGGCCGAGGGGGGAGAAATAAAAAAAATCTCGACGAACGATAATATGTGATATGTATCGTCATCGTCTCCCTTGCCGTTTGGATTGCCGAGCGGTAACAATCAACGACATGTGGAAGCAGTTGAGTCAGAGATAGATGCTTCGTTTACAAACAACACAACCGTTTATTAAACACGAAAGAAGCTTACAAGATTACTGCGATCTTGGAAGTTCTGCGTCGGCTGCGGCCTGTGGGTCTTTTTCTCCTTTCCAAGATAGTCCCATTTTGAAGGCGTGTCCCTTGTTCGTGAATGAACCATTCCATCACGTCTCGACGACTCCGGGACGATGCGGTCGACTTCCGTTGAGGGAAAGATGTCGATCCGAGGTCGGGAGATGGAGACGAAGATGGGTGCGAGACACAAACAACAACAGATCCGTCACTTGGGAGAAGAAGCCGTTGCGTCCTCGAATTTCCGGGGTTTTATCTGTTTTCTCTCAGATTCGCCTTTTCGATTGGTCTCTCCTCGTCACCTGAAGACAATTCGAAACCTTTCGGGGGGCGCGGGAGAGGTCAAAATCGAAGTTTAATTCGATCTCCAACCGGAAATGGTCGACGGACTTACATTCTTCTATTGTCTAGAAGTTAGCGTCGCGTTTTCATAAAATAAAAATCTATTTCTAACTACGATATTATTTTCTCTAAAACAATTATTTTAACGCGAATTTTAGTGAGGGTTCGGACCTGTCCAGAGCCTCACATAATGGGGCAATACAATCAATGCTACCTTACGCGGCCTCTAGTTGGGGTCTTGTAACTAGTAAAAATTCAGTAGCAAGTAAATTACTCTATCTTCAAAGACAGTTTGCCATCAGAATTTCCAAGTACTGCAGAACTGTTTCTATTGAATACTAATGCCTCTCTGATACCAGCAGATCTCCTTCCTTTGCCACTATGTATTGTAGAAAAGGTTCTAACTACCACATCAGTACTACGAACATCAAGGCTCAACAACAGTCTCTACTCATATGCTACCACTCGCAATTACCCTATCTCTGATCATCGCCCCGTAAACAACGTTATCCCAGGGTACATTCGGTGTCATCTGCTTCCCGCATGGATAACCATGCAGACATTAATATCTACACAGACGAGTCCAAAAGCCCCCTTCGTGTCGGCTCAAATATCTGTATCTTCCTCCAAACTGACATATTTTGCCCAAAATATGTTAGAAGGTACAGATACCCCCCACATACTTCCATCTATCAAGCTGAAGAAGATGCCGTCTACCATGCTGTTCAGTGAGCCGCTTCACTACCAAACAAAACTCTGTCTATCAACATTTACAGTGATTCTCAGTCTGTCCTAAAAGCTCTATTAAATCCCAATTGCAATAGCAATAAAATCCGTATTAAAAATCTTTTAAATAAGATAACTTTTATATTTGTTCCTGCCCATACTGGCATACTAGGAAATGAAAAAGCCGACTTTGGGGTTAAGTCGGCTGCAAAGGACATTGACTCGGACTACACTCTCATCCCTCTCTCACGTAGCAGCCTTAAAAATTATATTCGTGACAACGCTATGAAAAAAGTGGGATCAACAATGGTCGAGCAGTAAAACTGTTAGAATAACAATACTTTATTTTCCTAGTGTCGAATGCAGGTTCTCATCACCACTTAGAGATTTAACGTTTGCTACCGCTCAACTACTGACCGAGCATGATAATTTTAGAAGTTACCCGGCGAGGTATAACCGGGCAGAAACTGCCTCTTGCTTTGCTCTATAGAAAACGTAGACACCGTCGACCGTACGATCTTTCATTATCCAATTTACGATCAAGATAGATTTATTCTGAAATTAGAAATTTTACGCCTGGTTTCGGGTGGCCACCTCCACTCGATAAGCTTGTTCAGAAGTCGCTGTTTGATGCTTTACAAATACAGTCGACCCCCTATAACACTGTTGATAATTCCGTTTTATGTGAATTCCATGTTGTACGAAGTAGGCCTACTTATAGCAACTGGATTGAAAAGGCAAAGGCACGAAGACCTCCCGGGAGATCTTTTATTCAAAATTAGCAACAGATGTACCGGCGTTTTATTTCTCTGTTATGTATCCACGTAGTGAAAGAAATTAGAGAATGAAGGAAATAAACAGTCTATTGCGTTTTATAGTAAATATAGCAATTTTTTAAATAACAATAATTTAAATTTAATGACGAAATATAACGAACGAATTTAATTTACTAACGAAAATAACGGAAACGTTCGAAAATAGTCGAAGAGTTTTAGATTTTATGAAAATATTTTAAAACTAATTTCTGTATTCGTGTTATATAATAACAATAGTAACATTATTTCTAGGATAATTAAAACTGCAAATAGGAAAGTTCAATATGACGAAGTATTCCAGGTATTTGAAATTTCAGTACATTTTAGTAATTTCGTAAACAATACCCAAGGATTTTTTATTTAACAATCGTATTGTAAATTTAGTTTTCAATAAGTGTCTGCTCTCTCGTAATTTCCTTGACCAGTCTAATGCAAAGGAAGATTTGCACACGATAGGGTACCGAGGCAAGAAGTATGGAGATGTTTGAGGGAAAAGAATGTTCGGAAAAATATGGTCGAGGAAATGTACGAGGGAACGGAGACTCGAGTTAAGAATAGTGTGGGCACTACGGAAGGGTTCTTCGTTAATGTCGAAGGGCTCTTCGTAATGACGAACTGGAGGAAGCCGTGTTACGCGACGAGAAAGTTAGCCGTAATCTGATAGGAAAATTGTATAAATCAGTTGTTAGATCCGCAACGTTATACGGAGCGGAGACACGGACAATAACAAGAACCCGAGAAAGAAAGACGGAAGTGACGGAGACGAAAATGTCGAGAGGGTCGCGTGGAGTGTCGAGGAAGGATAGAATAAGGAATGATTTTATTACAGATTCTGTTAAGGCAAAAAGATGCAAGAATGTAGGTTGAGATGGTTTGACCACGTAGAGCGAAGAAGCGGCAATTATGTTGGAAAGAAGATCGAAAAACTGGTAATAAAATGAAAGAGGAAAAGAGGAAGACCAAAGATAAGATGGAAGAAGACTGGAACCAGAGGAGACTTAAGAGAGAAGAAACCCTCGATAGGGAGAAATAGAAGAAACGTATTAGTTTTCAAATGATAAATAAAAATATTAAACACTATCGACGGGCTAATCCGATTAATTACTGTAGCGAAGCGCTTCTAGTTAATTAATTCTTACAAGTGTTGGTGTGATTTTATAAATAAGAAAATCTTTAACGAGCCGCATTAATTACAGAATGACGAAAGAGAATTTACGTCAACTTTGTAAAGATATGCATTTTCACGACGAACCATCTTTGAACGATACTTTGTATTTGCATTACAAAGGTAAAAGAAATCTTATTTTTTTATATTAAAAACGATAAGTTAATTTGAATTAAGTTTTATTATAGGTTTTACGAAGATCGAGAATTTAGAGGAGTATACGGGATTAAAGAATTTATGGTTGCATTCAAATAAAATAACTCGTATCGAAAATTTAGAAAATCAAAAACAACTTAAAACTTTGTTTTTACAAGAAAATATAATTGGAAGAATCGAAAATTTACATCAATTGAAACACTTAGAATATATTAATTTAAGTTATAATTTTATTAGAAAAATAGAAAATCTCAGTAAATTTCTCTTTTATAATATTTGATACCAGCGATTTATCTTTTGGTGTTTATAATATAAATATTCTTTGAATATTTTAGGTTGTTTACCGAATCTGAAGAGGCTCGATATTAGTCAAAATCTGTTATCTACTGCCCAAGATATTCGACATCTTTCCGAGTGTCAAAATTTGACCATTGTCGATCTCTCTCGTAACAGATTGGATGGAATTGAATTGGTAGACGTTTTGGCAAACACGAATAATATCGTAAGACCGCGTTACGATGTTTTTTTAATCATTTATGTACTCTTTCTGTATATTTACAATTGATGTTTAATTGTGAATGATTAAGTATAGCCTTACTATAATCGTGATATAATTATTAGACAAACTTCACAATTATATGATATAATTTATGTACACTATAGATAGAATTAAACATGCTGGGTAATACGATTACGAGAAGTTTAGCAAATTATAGAATGGTACTAATATCCACGATTGTAAGTATTAGCGAGATTGCGGCCGAATTTTCGTCTCTCAAACGTGAACGTCGAACGTCGAATGTGAACGTCAAACGTGAACGTCAAACGTCAAACGTGAACGTCAAACGTCGAACGTGAACGTCAAACGTCGAACGTGAACGTCAAACGTAAACGTCGAACGTGAACGTCAAACGTCGAACGTGAACGTCAAACGTAAACGTCGAACGTCAACGTCAACGCCGTTTGTGAACGTGAACGGCGAGCGGCGCTTGATAGCGGCGCTCGACGTTCACGTTTGACGTTCGACGTTCACGTTCGAGAGACGAAAACTTCGGCCGCTACCTCTCTATTACAATAGCCTGTATGTAAGCTATTGTGTGCGTACTATTTTATATATAAACTTGTATTTCAGAAAAGTCTACGGGAGCTCGACTATACACTGGTTACCGATAAAGAAAGAGCGTGTGCCGCTGCTTGGTAATATAAAATTGTACTTTTTCTAATTGATTTAGTAATGAAGAAATGAACTTTAAAACAGGGCGAGAGGTGGAATAGATGCAGAGAAAAAGGAAAGAATTAGATGGGACGAAATGGAAAGAAAACATTTCGAAGAAAGCATTAATAGTTAGCTGTTTAATATAAAATTTACTTATCAGTTATTTTAATATTTAAAATTGCGTAAATTAAATAGCCAGCACGAAAAGATCATCTAAACACTTAAAATATATTACTCTTTACAGTAATCAATGGATACAAACGGGAGAAGAATGGTAAAGACCACGAAAGAGATAGTAACATAGAATATACGGAAATAGAATCCCAAGAGTTAGAAAGTGCAGATGATAAAAATATAATTACTTATCACCAATTAGGAAGGATACATTACGAAAGAAGTAAATACTTTTCCGGACAGCAAACTCCGAGATTGGTCAAAAGGACCGGCAGATTAGGAAACAATTATAATCTTTGGGAATTGGGAAGACGTAACGAATTTAATATGAATAATTGGCGTAAAATAGTAAAGAAGACACCGGAAATCGATAAAAAATATGAAAAGTAAGTTACGCGTTTTATATTGTATTTAATTTAAAACAAAACTTAAGTGTATTCGTTGTTTATAGTTACATTTCGTCATCGATCGAATCAATTTTAAAAGAAGAACCTTTGACGCTATATGAAAAATTACTTTTTTGGTACGAAAGAATGGACACCGAAGAAGTTATAAAATAGGTTTTAAAATCAAATTCACTTAATTACTTTTAAGTTGATTTATTTGCATTAATTTTATATGTAAATCGAATTTTTGTTTTAGAATTTTGACTTATTCCGATCTGCATAAAATTCAGTGGTGTACTTTAAGAAGGTTCCGAATGGCTTTTATTTTATGCATAAGATACGTTTTTTATACTTAGGAAATATTTCAAAAAATGACAATTTTACTTGTATTTTATACGATGACTAAATAAACGGATTTAAAAAACTGTTAATAACATTCGATACGTATTAAAGCAAGTTTTGCGTGCGTGAGGATTATTTGTTTATGGACATAAATTATTACGTAAAACGATTAACCCCTTTGTAACGAAATAAGGTACAAGTCGACCCCCCTATAACACTGTTGATTTTTCTGTTTTATATGAATTCCGTGTTGTACGAGTCACTTAGATTTTACGAATACGTAAGCCGTTCACAGCTCGGCACACGTATTTGTAAAATCTAAGTGACTCGTACAACATGGAATTCATATAAAACGGAATTATCAACAGTGTTATAGGGGGATCGACTTGTATGTACAAGAATGGAAATATTTTTTGACTTTGTTACGACAAAATTTAAAGAAAGTAGACGAAGAAAATCAACGTCTCTTTAAGCTTAACGATTTCTCCCAATTACTCCGAATATCGTAAATTCTTAATAAAATAATGGGCAATCTTCGATGTCTTTTCGTTTATTTCACATTTTATTGTAATAAGAAAAAAATATTTAAATGACATAAAGCTAAAGCTATTTTAATAACTATTGTAGTTATTTAACCCACGGTTTCTTTCTCAACCATTTAGTGACCATTTTGGTATTTCGTTCTATTTCTTTTGTATTATTATATTTTTCGAAAATTTCTTCGGTGGCTTCTTTGTTTTTCTCGTGTAAACTCGGAAGATATTTACCGAATACTTTTATTATCTAAAAGTAAGTAAAAAAAAACTTTAAAAAGTTTACTTTTTATGCTGTTATATAAGTCGACCTCCCTTATAACACTATTGATAATTCCGTTTTATAAGAATTTCGTGTTGTACGAGTCACTTAGATTTTACAGATACGTGTGCCGGGTTGTGAGCGGCACACGTATTTGTAAAATCTAAGTGACTCGTACAACACGGAATTCATATAAAACGGAATTGTTCGACTGTATTTGTATGTTTATTCTTCATTTTGGAAAGGTCTTATATGTTTTGGAGCATTGTATTAAAAAATATTAAACTCACCTTTTTATACTTTTTATAATTCGGGGTTACTCTTTTCACGGTATTTATTAGGAATTGGATAAACTTTGGTCTAAATATATTTGAAAATAATAAGCGTCATTTTTAGCCGCAAATATAACGAGTCTAGCTAATATATGAAGTAGAACGAGAATTAAAACGTAGTTTAATAGATTTATTTATTGTTAGCCATTGTTTTACTAAAATAAAAGTTTTATATTTTAATATTGTACCGTAATGGGGATTATATAAAGATCAATACGGATACATATTAATTTCCTACGCTATATACAAGTAGACCCCCCTATAACACGGTAGATAATTCCGTGTTATACGAATTTCATGTTGTACGAATCACTTAGATTTTACAAATAAGTGAACCGTTCACAGCCCGGCACACGTATTTGTAAAATCTAAGTGACTTGTACAACATGGAATTCATATAACACGGAATTATCTACAGTGTTATGGGGGGTCTACTGTACAGTATTAAGATCTTGTAGCGTAGGAAAAGAAACTTTTTTCCTAATTTTACTTCATAAATTTACTTTTAAAATTAAAAACTAACTTTTTTACAAAAAGTGCAAAATGTTTATCTACGAAATCGAAGCATTTTTCCCATAGAAACAAATTGTGAATACAACTTCCGAGTCTATCGCTAAACTTCGTTTGAGTGGCTCCTACAAATAATTTCTCTAATTCCCTTAAAGAAAAGTTAATAATTATTAATTGTTACGAAAAGAAGTTATTATTTAAATATTTAATATAATAATAAATAGAAATATTTAGAGAAACTCACTCCCGAACAATGATGGGATTAGTGCTGCATTCGATAAGTAATAAGGGATGTTCTTTCGCGTATTTACTCCAATAAATATCTAAAAAATCTTTTTTACCGTATCGAATAGCGGCGCATATACAAATAGATTTAAAATTCTTGTCCGTAGTCCTATTTTAGAGTAAATTCGAGAAAACATAAATAAAACAACATTGAAACAACACAGTTATTATTAATTCTAAACACGTAAGTTATTGTCAGTTATTCCGTTTTATATGAATTCCGTGTTGTACGAGTCACTTAGATTTTACAAATACGTGAGCCGTTCACAGTCCGGCACACGTATTTGTAAAATCTAAGTGACTCGTACAATACGGAATTCATATAAAACGGAAAAATCAACAGTGTTATAGGGGGGGTCGACTACAGTTTTGTTGTATTTTCAATGACACGTTACTCTTTCACTACATTCTATGTACCATCGAGGTGATAACATGTGGGATGCCATAAGAAAAAATAAGTATTTAAAGTACTTTCTATAGGTCTACTGTTCCATTGTTGAAATATTGCAATATTTTAAATTGATTTTTCCTATTTTCAGAATTGTAATCGGCAGTCGAGACTGAAAATATGCAACTTCCCAACTAATGCAACACGCTTTAATCTAAGTTGTTTCGAAACAATGGCCGAGTTATGCTAAAGCGTGCCCATTTTTTTTTCAATAGTTCTCGCGTGTAGTCGGAATTACTTTGCATTAAACCTAGTAATGAAATTATTTATTATTGGAATATTTTTAAACTTACGTTTCTAAACGACTCGTAGAGTTTCTAACCGTTAACGTGTGAACACAATACTGTACACAATTACGCTCTCCTATCCGGCATAAAATTTCGAGAATTTCCATGCGTATTTTGCTATAAGAAATATAAGAAGAAGAAATTACGGTCCTATTTCCTTATTTTTTTCGAATACTAAACTTGTTTTTTTTTAAATACAACGGGCTTACTTGAAAATAAACAGTTCGTTTTTATGATCAAAATGCCATCCGAGTTTATAGTACGCGTGTCTATATAGATACCATAGAAATTCCTAAAATAAAAACGAATTTAATAAATATATAACAGAACATATTTATGAATATACAGTAGAGCGTCGTTTATCCGAAAGTCGGTTATCCGAAAAATAAGTTATCTGAACAACCCCAGTCCCCAATTGATTCGGATAAACGACGCTCTACTGTATTTAAATATCTTACCTTCCAATAATCTTCCATTGTGATTCCTTCCATCAATTCTGATATGAATATAATATTTATGTGATCCGGAGCGTTATAAAAAATTGGATAAAACATAAATATAGATTGGCGAGGGATAAATAAATATAGATTCAATGGATTCTCTAAAGTTTTAATCCCCCATCTACAAATATTTAATAACGATCGTCATTATCGAGTTTATATAAACGAATTTCAGACATTTTAAAAGAATTTACCTTTCAAGATTAATCATATCGTTTAGCAATTTCAGTTTTTGATTAGGATTTAGTAACTGTAAATAACGTCGGCGTATTTAATTTCTATACAATCGACCCCCCTATAACACTAGATAATTCCGTTTTATATGAATTCCATGTTGTACGAGTCACTTACATTTTACAAATATGTGTGCCGGGCTGTGGACGGCTCACGTATTTGTAAAATCTAAGTGACTCGTACAACATGGAATTCATATAAAACGGAATTATCAACAGTGTTATAGGGGGTCGACTTGTATATGTAATATACTGAGAGTTTTCCAAAAGTCGTGGCTTTCTTAAAGGCTGAATTCGTAAGCGACGAGTTGTGATGTGTAATCAATTGATCATCCGGCTCGTCACCTCCGACACTAGCAATTACGCGACAACGTGTTAACAATAGACGACTTTAGGAAAATTCTCCACATCTTTATTCTTTAATAACTAATTAAAGATTAAATTACCTGCAGGTTAACAGAGTATAAACATAATAAAATAACTAACACAATACGTGAAAAACTTATATACAAACGCCTAATTAACGTATTACAAACACACGAAACGACAGATTTATAGTTAAAACAATCAATGGTAACAATTAGACATTACATTTATTAACAGCAAAATAAAATCACGTCCATCCAAATACACACAATACACAAAACGTCTATACTAAAAAAAAAACATCAATAAAAATACAAAACAATTTATTTATCTTACAATTACAATAGGAAGTGTCGTTATACGATCGATTTCCTTCCCCGATTCAATAAAAAACAGACACCCTTAGAAACAATAATACAACAAACAAATACAATAAAGGTTACTTATTAGCGAGGTTGCGGCCGAAGTTTTCGTCTCTGAACGTGAACGTCGAACGTCGAGCGCCGCGCTCGACGTTCGACGTTCACGTTCAGAAACGAAAACTTCGGCCGCAACCTCTCAATTGCATTTATAGTCCTCTTTATAGGAGTTACATAATATACAGTGCAGAGATATTAGACAGTAATAATAACACTACAATTTATATTCGTCTACTTACCGACTTTTTTTTACGAATTTCATTTGCTAATAGATTCCAGTTACGATTATCGTAATTGACGATATAACTTCCCAAAGACTTTTCGTGAAAATAAATCCATTGGTTCTCGTCGGGCATGTCGCGTAACGTCACTAAAAAGTGATGTAATTAAATCGTTTAAAATAATAAATAAACGAATAAATTTCGGATTAATTGCCTACTCGTTTTCCTCGACAACAAAACTATTTTCGAATCGTTTAAATCGCCTTTTTCTCTTATAATAGATAGAGGAACGTTCCATATTCCGCTGAAAAAAACAGCAATACTTATTCATTTCTACGGGTTATCGTACGAATATTTAATTAATTACACCATCGAAAATACGTACTCTCTGTAATTGTCACTTTGATTTGACAAACAAGGCTCTTGCGTGATAGTTACCGTATTAGATTCGTAATCTCTTACAACGTTAATTATCGGCACACCGGGCAAGTTTATCCAAGATTTTAAGTAATATTCTATAGATCCATTATATTTCTACGGTTTAAAACGTTTAATAAATAAATAAATAGTTTTGAATAAAATAAAATAATCAAAATAATATATACACTCGACCCCCTATAACACTGTTGATAATTCCGTTTTATATGAATTCCATGTTGTACGAGTCGCTTAGAATTTACAAATACGTGTTCCAGGCTGTGAACGGCTCACGTATTTGTAAAATCTAAGTGACTCGTACAATATGGAATTCATATAAAACGGAATTATCAACAGTGTTATAGAGGGGTTCGACTGTGTACTGTACTTTAAAATATTTCCAAAATTCTTCGATATTTGTATTATTTAATGCTTTATCTTGTACGTATTTCTGAAAAATTCAATTTTAAAAATAAATTGAAAATTGATTTGAATTTCTATTCTAAATAAAGAAAATTAAAGATAAAATCAATATATACTCGAACTCCGTTCTTAAAATTTTCATCCCCTATTATGTGTCTCAAGACATCGAAAACACTTCGGCTCTAAAGAAAATATCATTTAGCCTACTTTTATAAATAAAATATTTATTTATTTAAATACAACATTAATTACCAAAGGAAGAGGAACCTTCGAAAGGATTTCCAAAGAAGCATTTTTACATCTGGCATTGACCAGGGAGAGAGAATCCAATTCGTTATCGCACCCCATAGAATTTTCAATGGCGGTATCTAAACTTATTTTATCGATCTGAAAAAAATGAATTAAATTGTTTGACGTATATTTTATGATGCATCGAAAGTAAAACTACGTCATAAAAGTAGAGGAACGTCGTAAGTTTTATTAAAAGTAATAAAAGAATGTACCTCTTCGTAGAGGAAGGATTTCGAAGACAATATATATGACGCGATGTACTTCGAAAGACCTTCGGTTATCCAAAAGTTTGACCACCAATCGACGGTGACACTGTGTCCCAGCCACTGAAATTATCCTCCGATAGATGAGTATTATCCTTATTACTGTCGTGGATTATAAATTATACAGGTAGACCCCCCTATAACACTGCAGATAATTCCGTGTGACATGAATTCCGTGTTGTACGAGTCACTTAGATTTTACATATACGTGAGCCGTTCACAGCCCGGCACACGTATTTGTAAAATCTAAGTGACTCGTAAAAACACGGAATTCATATAACACGAAATTATCTACAGTGTTATAGGAGGGGTCTACTGTATAATAAATCATACCTGACTTATTAAATTATAAACAAATATTTCGAGAAACTCGATGGTATCGTCGAGACTCTCCGATAAAGTGATGACGTTCGATTTTCTAACCACAATAACTCCCGCACCGATTAAATAATCCTCCGACTTTAAATCCATTATTATTATATCTAAAAGAAAAGAATATTCGACTTTAGCCAAATATTTTCTTTCATATAAAAAGTATTCTTTCCTTTCAACGACCCCCCTATAGCACTGTTGATAATCCCGTTTTATATGAATTTCATGTTGTACGAGTCACTTAGATTTTACTAATACGTGTGCCGGGCTGTGAACGGCTCACATTTTTGTAAAATCTAAGTGACTCGTACAACATGGAATTCATATAAAACGGGATTATCAACAGTGTTATAGGGGGGTCGACTTGTATAACCTAATTTAGGAAAGGGAAATGCTCCAAAGAATCTTTTAGTCCAATTAAAAGCTAATTCGATCTTATACGAAGATTTATTGGCCACGTCTTCGGAAGATTCGTCGTACCAAAGTACAGTCTGAAAATAGTAAAATTATTATTTAAATTAGCTGCATTTTGTTCGGACAGAGAGAAGACATTATTCAAAACGGAGGATGGTATCCGAGAGGAGGACGTTGCACTCAATTGGATACCATAAATCAATCGTATCCATTATCAAAAACGATTTTAACTTTAATCGAATGGAAAATTTAATTAGATAAAAAGTATCGTACATCGCCATTAACTAAGCTAATTAACTTCCCAATCACCAACATTACAGAATGAGTGGCGATGGGTGGAGTTCTTTCGAAAACGTCTTCGTCGAAGTTATCTCTGAAAGTCAAAAGAGACGAAGAATTAATATAAAAAAGAGTAGATATTCGACGTTCTATATAATAAATATTACATAAAACTATAGAATACCTGGAAACCGTTTGAATTATCGGCATATTGGATAAGGAAGTAAAGTTTTTTGGTCTTAATATAAGAATATCGAAAGTTGTTTTGAAAGACGGTTCGTCAAAACAGGGAAAAGCCGTTCTGGCTAATCCCGCTTTAAAATTAGTAAGTAAAATACTGAAAAAGAAGAGGTTTTTAAAGTTATCAAAGAGGTTATCAAAGTCTACTCCCCTATAACACTGTTGATAATTCCGTTTTATATGAATTCCATGTTGTACGAGTCACTTAGATTTTACAAATACGTGAGCCTCTCGCAGCCTGGCACGCGTATTTGTAAAATCTGAGGGACTCGTACAACATGAAATTCATATAAAACAGAATTATCAACAGTGTTATAGGGGGGTCGACTTGTATTTGCCGAAAATATTGGTAAATTTCGAGAAATTTTTCGTAGAAACTCACTGCTTGGTTTTATCGAGATCGAAGATTCCCGTCTCCGTAAAGTTCCTAACGTAATTTCTGAACGAAATGCTTAAGTTATAATATCGATTTTCTTTTAATAATTCATCGAATATTATAGTCAAAAAGACGTTATCGGTAAAAGATTCTTTGGGCCGATGTTCTTTTCCTTCCTGATCGATTAATGCGATATACTTCCATCCGATAAAAAGATTTGTCTGATGAAGCGTTACGGCGTGGGTGCTTTGGTTACAATACAGCACTATGTTAATAGTTCCCGAGTATCGATTGATTACTCTCAAGGTTTTCATGGATATTAGTAAATCGTAATGTTTCGGAATAAAACTCTTAGGTAAACGGCGCAGTTCTACGCAAGTTTCCGTATCTTTGACGTAAAACGGTACAAGAATAATTGCCAGAACGATCAGCACTAACGAAATTCCTATTAGGACTTTGTAATTTAACAGGCGAATGGCAAACTTTTTACTTTCGCTCTTCGAAGGTTGTTGGATTATTTCTTCTTCCTGCCCGAATTTTTCTTTATCTTTCCTCCTCTTGCGCCTTCTTTGATCTTTCTCCTGGGAGGCGCTAGAACTTTTATGTCTTCTTTTATGACCTCTTCTTGTATGTTCCGACTCTCGCTTCCTCTTTTTTCTTTTAGGTCCTTCGTCGACGTTTGTATCGTCGTAAATATCCGTTTTTCTAGGAGACCTCTCCGAATAATCTCTTCTCGATTTCTTTCTTTTCGCCTCTCTTCTATTACGTTTATTTTCTTTCTCCGAATAATCTCTTCTTCTTGCTCCTCTCCTATCAGATTTACTTTTTTTTACTCTTTCAAATTCTTCTTTTTTCCCATAATCTTTCTCGAAACTTTCTTCCGTACTTTTCTCTTCGACTTTCTCTTTTACAGACTCGTCTTCCGTTTCTCCTTCGGGTTTGTCTTCCTCCATCGTTAATTATTAAATATATAATCTAAATAATTAAAGGAAAATTGTTGTTTTTTTTATAAATTTGTTATATTTTACTCTTTTTTAGACAAGAAAATGCTTAAATAAGCCAAGGAACTCCTTACAATATTGCTAAAAAACTTCAACAAACCTTTTCCTTTATAATCTTTTGTTACAGTTTTTAACAATTAGACAAGTTTAATTTTATTCGAAAACAATTAAAATAATTATTTCGTAGTTAAAAACATATTTCTGTAGAAACTTTCATTCGATTCGTCACAAAAAAAAGGAAGTAACATGGAAATTCTGAAAGGATCCATTACATAAATATCGATATTATTATCATAAAAGGACACACGTATATATATATTATTATTATTATTCATACAATAGCGTACATTATAAAGAACACATTACATAAAGTAGTAGATGCAGCTGTTTAAAAGTATAAATGAGAAAATAATTTCTTTTTAAAGAAATATTTTAATGATAAAAGAAATTAATTTTTCGTTGTGTTGTTATAATTTTTTTTAATAACGTTATCCTATATAAATCCGAACGTAACGAGCACTCGACAGTAAAAAAAATGAACTTATTTCTGTTACTCGTAACGCTCTTCCTCGTCTTCTTTCCAGTAAACACTCAGATTAATTTCGGAGAAGCGTTATGCGGTAGGTATTTCTCATATTTTTAAAGCCAGATAGATAACACCAACGTACAGTAGACCCCCCTATAACACTGTAGATAATTCCGTGTTGTACGAGTCACTTAGATTTAACAAATACGTGTGCCGGGCTGTAAACGGCTCACGTATTTGCAAAATCTAAGTGACTCGTATAACACGGAATTATCTACAGTGTTATAGGGGGATCTAATGTATTTAACCACGTTTCTTCGTAGACGATAAACAGGGCGACGAAGCGAAACAACAGAAATGGGAATGTATGCAAAACAAGATGCCTCCAGAGGTATATTTTAAGAAAATAAGTTTAAAAGAACGATAACTTAAATAAATTAGGTGTTTTTTTTTTTAGATATCGGGACCGGTAAGTGCGTGTCAGCAACAATTAGCCGGCGGTCAAGCCGTAACCGATTATATAAACACCTTATGCCAGAATAAAGATAAAATAAAAGAGGTAACGATACTCTATTGATATTAAGTATATTTTATTATTATTAACGTTATTCTTTCTCCCGTTTTTTAAGCTGCTTTCTTGTATTGTGGAGCAATTGGTACGTAATATCACTCCGAATGTAGATACGATTATACAGTAGACCCCCCATAACACTGTAGATAATTCCGTGTTATATGAATTCAGTGTTGTACGAGTCACTTAGATTTTACAAATACGTGAGCCGTTCACAGCCCGGCACACGTGTTTGTAAAATCTAAGTGACTCGTACAACATGGAATTCATATAACACGAATTATCTACAGTGTTATAGGAGGGGATCTACTGTACTTCGTATTTTTAATTAATTTTCAATTTTAGGTCAACGGTAATCCTATAACAAAAGAAGCTTTAAAGAGTTCGGCCGATAGTATTAAGGTAAAAGAAAGTTATATTATTAATTGAACTTTATTATAAATCCTTTATAAAAAAATTCTTTTTCTTTCTTCAGGAATGTTTATCTTCCGAGTAAATTATTTAAGATTCTACAATTAATAAAATGGTACATAATTTTATCTTATTATTATATTTTATAATCAATACATTATTACAATTTAATGTTATTTCTAGTAAAATACACCAGAAATGGTCCCGTTTTTTAAAGAATTATTTTAAATAAAACAAGATTTGTGTGTGTTTTTTTCATTCACTTAATACAATTCTTTGTTTTTTTCAGATATTTTCTGCTCGGTAGAGGAATGCAAATTAAAAAAAGTAATTAATAAAATTAAAAGAAAAAATACATAAAGTAATTTCTGTATTATTTAAGGCCTACGCGTCACTGGGTCCTGGTAATTTGTTTTTCGAGAAATATAATAAAATACGGGTCAGAGATTCTATAGGTTATTGTGTGAAGATAATTTGTCATCACCTCGTAACGTTTACAATCCGAAAAACATTAAAATAACGAAGTAGGTTAAATAGAAATGCACAGTATTTCTGTGTAACATAAAAACTACGGTTTTTCACTTTAAAATTTGCACTTTATGCCATTCCAATAGCGTTAAAAGTGTCGGAAAGAGCGTATTCACAATAGAAATTCCACTTTTAGCTTAGAATTTAATCAATCGGAAACGTAAAAATCTCGAGTTATATAAACTAAAACGGATGTTGTAAATACTTTTTAAGGTTGGTCTAACAGAGGTGATATTTGAAGGTCATAAATTTTGTATAAAAAAAAAAAAAGCTACGTTCGAAATCTATCGAAACATCACCTTCGACTGTACAAAGTAAGTCGTTACGTTCGATATTTAATTTTCTGTAGTATTTTAATAGTTTAAAGACGATCTTTTTTACAAATTTAATCGCATACTTTACAATATTTTTCATAATTTAGTTGACATTTTCTCTGTAATATCGAATAATTTTCCATTTAAATGTGTTTACTTGTATGTGAAAACGAGCAAATTCTGGCCACTAAAACATATAAATGACAACTTATTTATTTATAAATTACGTTAAAAGTGATTTCGATTATACGTTTTTCTCGTCTTATTTCGGTGGTGGCCGGATGCATTTTCACATAATTTGTAGCATTTAATGGACGAAATGTTTATACATTAAATTCCAAGGCACTTAAAGCATTATTCCAAATAATGTCCAGCTTCATTTACACGCGTAAGCGTACAAATACGTACAGTAGACCCCCTATAACACTGTAGATAATTCCGTGTTATATGAATTCGATATTGTACGAGTCGCTTAGATTTTACAAATACTGTACGTGAACCGGGCTGTGAACGGCTCACGTATTTGTAAAATCTAAATGACTCGTACAACATCGAATTCATATAACACGGAATTATCTACAGTGTTATAGGGGGGGTCTACTGTAATTCTCTATTCGTCCACTTTTATAAATGTTTACACACACATTTAAACGTACTCGGAGACCCAAATGTATTATTTACAATGGCACGATGACAATTGAAATAGACCTATACAGATTGGCAAAAATAGCGTGATAGAAGGACGATAATTATTTGCTTTTTATACAGCCATACACGCGTGAAAAGACGTACTTCCCGCCATATTGTTCCCTATCCGAACGTAATGCGAAGAATCCGGAAAGTCTTCGACTATAAAATGTTATCAATATTTTCAATTATGCAACTTAGAATTGCTAAGTACTGTACTTCATTCCAGCCTAATCTTTTCATAAGTCCATAAACGTGTTACCTTTATGATTATTATTATTATATGGGGTGGCATATAATAATTAAATTGTTAATATTGATTGCGACTGTCGTCTAAAAGATGTAATGAATTAGTAGAAGTGGATTTATTATTTTTGTTTTACATATTTAGTCATTGGAGGTGTTTAAGAATAGGAAATACAACTTACTTTTACAGAAAAATGAATTTGCGAAGAACGTCGTCGACATTTCTGATATGCATAATATTCGTATTGATAGATAACGCAGAATCTTTTGTGAGTACGTCACTTATATTCATTTTTTTGACTTATATTATAATAATGCGTGGATTATCCTGGTAGGGATTTATAAGACTTTGCATAACTTCCGACGACAACACACAATTCCCAGTAAGTTTTAATGAGTTTATTTTCCATGGTACCACCGTTAATAATAATAAATCTTACTTTACAGACTCAATGTGTACTTTGCTCACGTTTCAAACTGCAATCCATAGTAAGTAACTTCATTTGAACTTTAATATTTATACAAATTACCACCTTTTTAAATACTCCAGCAAATAATTTAATATTGTAAAAAACGTTTTCGACGTGAGTTATTTAATTTAATTATTATAAGCCCAAGTGAAAACATCTTGTATCAATCTGTCCACAGGGTGGAAATCGTTTTACGAAGATAAACTGTAATTTTTAATGCGAAACTGTTGAGCTTTTTATATTCTTATATCCCTATCTATTTTGTATTTATTCCCCTAAGCGCACTTATTATTTTTCGTAATTTTAATTTTTGTTCTATTTCTTTAATGTTCTTTTTACTTTTTTGTTTAACTGACGAAGATCGAAAATGTTCTTACAATATTAAATTATTTGCTGGAGTATTTAAAAAGATGGTAATTTGTATAATTCTTTCTGATAAGTTAATATTTATATTAAGGATTAATATTTTCTTCTTTTGCCTCTAGTATCAAGCCTGTACTGGAACTGTAAGTTGATATCTATATCCACATTTGAAATTATAATCTTGGATGGAAAGAAAATAGTAATCTACGTTTAGTAAAAATTCTTCTCTTCGTTTAATTATCATTTTCCTGTTTAATATAATTTTGAACAGTGTTAAATATATACTCTACATCTACATGATGTAAATCTTGTTAATGTTACTATGTTTACGTAATCTTATATTTGGATTTTACAGACGGCTCCGCAGAATATTCCGTATACTCAGGCTTATTGTATTGTTAACAATTGTCTTCGGGTAAGTTTTTACTTTTCGTACACGTATTATTTTTATTATTATTGAGAAATGAATACTTATTTATTTACAGCAAGTCCCTTTGGTTGGAAAACGTAAACGTGAAGCCGGTGCCACAAAGTTATCTGGTGTGCGTGCAGTTTCCTAAATGGAAAATATTAATGCGATTACTTGATCCGCAGCATACCGATGCAAATTAGTTCTATTACATAGTTCCATTGTTATGCCAAAATAGTTAAATCTACTAATCGAGTTCGTGTTTCCTATTAAAATTTGTATTAAATAATATATGTTATTAATACTATAAAAAATTTCACTAGTTATTCAAAAATATAAAATATCACAGTATATTATATTATATATATATACATATGTATTTCATTATCTTCCTACTATTACAAAAATAATGTTAACAAATATGGAATAAAACAAAATAATTTTCTGTACATAACATGAAAATGCTCTATTCAGCTAGTGGTTTTTAACTGTGATGGAAGGCAAGTGGGTGGAGGACTTGGTTGTGGAGATTCTTCTTCTATTGTTATCTCTGTGATTTTTGAGGCCTGAGTTGTCTGAATATCTTCTTTTGCTTTTGTGGATAGGATGTCGTCTCTTTGTCTTTGAAAATAATAAGAAGGTAATGGATGTCTGTAAGATGTAAAATAAAACTATAAATATTGTTTTGAGATTAAAATTTGAGTAACAAAAGTATAGTGTCATTTAAAATAAAATATGTATTTTATACTTTGAGTTTTCTGAGAAATTATTAAATAATACTCCATAAATACTTTATAAAGAAATAAAAAATAAAGATAATTTACTAAGAAATAAAGTATTTATGGAGTAATTAAGAAAGTTATTTCTTAAAGTATTTATGAAGATGGTTTATCTTGTCTAATAAGGTAAACTGTTAGGGATGCTTCAAAAACTCTTGGGGATTTTCATTAATATTTGCTTAAATATTTTTGACTGATATTGTATTTTTGTAGAAAATCAATTATTCTGACAATTAAAATTAAATTGAAACAACAATATACTAAATTACTCTAATAAAAATATATTCTTTTTAATGAGAATTCTTACCTAGCTCCAACTGTATGCAATCTTGTTGCGAAATTGTCAGTATTATGTAATTTTAAATTAGGATTAATCATTCTTTGAGTTCCATAATGACCCTTAAAATTTTAAAATAATTTTTATAAATTTATACATTTAATTCATAAATAAATATTTGTCTATTAGAAAATTATAATGATTTTCATTTTGAATTGCATGCTTTTTTCAGTTAATAATCGGATTTTAATTCTACTTATTTAATCAATATATAACTTTTTACAACCATAAATCATCACAGAATCAAGAGATAAAAGAATTTATAGAAAATAAAATGAACATAATATACAAATAATATCAAAGTTTAGAATGGGGAAAATAATTAGGAAAGAAGTCACATTTTTTAATGATTTACAAAACAAAAATTGAACTTTGTAAAAACATTAGTTTTATTTTCATTATATTAATGAAATAAACATTAAAATATAAAAATTCTTAATATTTTAAATTTAATAATAAATCGATATGGTATAGTCTACTACTCATATAGGCTATATACTCTGTAACACATTTCTAGTATTTATGTAACTAAATATAGAAAAGGTACAGTAAAATATGATATTTCATGTTTTGATGTTTAAATTGGTTTAATTATTGTAAAATTATAATCAAAATTTATATTATTTATAACAATAAATTAGCTTAGACTAAAAACATTTATTTTATATTTGTAAAAAACAACTTAAAATCCAATCTAAATGAATTTATTGATTTAGCTTTTATTTAGTTGTTAGGTTTAAATATATTATTTTTTTAATATTAATTTTAGTTAATAAATCAAAATTACCTGTGAATAGCTTGGAATATTTGTAGATTTAATTAAGTTTGAAGTCAATAAATTAGTATTTACACTAGGTACTGAAATATGCGACCTAACAGAAGTAACTGCTGGTTGATAGATATTCTAAAAAAAATAACAAGATGTTTGATTAAAACTTAATTTAAGAAATAAAAAAACTATGATAGAATAACTTATAAAAAAGATCATTGAACAGATTTACTGCAGACAAAGCATAAAAGTTTTATTTATAAGAAATTAATAATTGACTACAATTGAAAATGTTCAAATTATATGAAGTGTTTCACAGATTCCAATACAAATTGAAAGAAAAAAAATGATTGAATGAAAGGAAATAAAAGTTTTTCTGAAATTTTCTCTAGTTCCTAAATATTAAATTTTTTGTTATTTCATCCAACAAATTAGCAAATAATAACAGATTGTTTGAGTAAATATTTATCAGAATGTATGCTTAGACAAAGATTCTTGTCTAAGCATACATTCTATTTAAAGGATTCTTGCAATTCAATGAATGCAACATTAAGGAATTTAGCATTCTCCATAATATCAACTCTGCTAAAAATGAAAAAATTATTTAATATTTTTGGGAGTGTCTAAATATCTAAACAGTCTATCTATTTTATAAAATCCTTTATTTATTTTCATTGAATGAAATTTATATTTCTCTGATAATTTACACTTGTCTTGATAAATGTGAAAATGTGTTATTTAGACTTTTTAGAATCTTCCTTTCATTAATAGAATTATCTCTGTTTACTTTAAATTATGAAATATCTCTGTTTTTATGAAATTTTTATAACTTTTTAAAATATTGATTAAAAATCTTTTAATAATAAAATATAACAAACTATTATTTCAAAGAAATTAATTTAAATTAATTCTGTAATTTAATGTTATCAGCATATGAACTTTTTGAAACAATTTTGAATTTCAAAATTCTATTAAAGTTAACATTTAAGTGATAGTACATTTTTAAAAAATATAGATAATATAGATATTTCAATAATTAAAACCCGTTAATTAACAAATGATTATAGAAATTATAACAAACATATTTAGGATTTTTCAGTTCTATTAAGTGATGAACTTGATAAACAGATTAAAAAAGTAATGTTTTAAATTCAATATTCATCTCATATTTATTTCATCATATAGTAAGTAATATACTTGAATAGCATCTAAATCTATTCAGATTTAGATGCTATTCAAATAATTCAAAAATAATAAAAATAAACATAAAAAGTTCATTGTTATTTTTAAATTGTTTGTTAATGTAATACTTAAAAAAACAAGTAAAACAATGAAGCCATTCTTGGGAGGAGACCTCAAGCAATACATGCGCAAATCTTGCATTCACACCTGTTTGTAGAAAGTCTTAGCATTTTGTAGTTTCTTTTGACCCAGTTCTTGGTCCTCTGACTACCTACAAGTCTGATTTATTTTATGTGAACATGATTTGGGCATCAATACTCTGTGCCAAATTGCAACTCCCGACATGTACTCCTTCATATCTCTAAGGTGTGCAGCTGTTGACAGCAGTGCGATTTTAGAGATGAGACATACTCGTCAAAAAGCACCAAATGTAGAAATCCCATTTTTGTTTAATATGAAATAAAAATTTAATAAGAAATGCATTTCTTTCCAAAATAAACAAGCATATAATTTCTGTATTCATTTATACTTAATTTTATAATTTAATTTAAATTCAAATGAAAAAGTTAAAAGAATTCAATAGAGTGACTTTTATATTTGAGTCAGAGAATGTGAGGAAGTGTGCTAGAAGAGGCATGAGTGTGTCTGAAGCAAAAGACATGTCTGTACAGGAAGACATGTAGAAATTTGCTGACTGGATGATTTGCAGTCTCCTTTTGCTTGCTCCTCATTCTTTTTGGATTATGAATGCGAACATATTTATATATGTATGTGATTTTATATAATTTTAAAAATTTCTCAAACATTTTTTTCTATAAATAATAAGAATAACAAACAATAATAAACAAAGATTTTTTTCTATAAATAATAAGAAATGTCACAATTTGTAAGCCAATACTTTCTTTGTTTTTTTATGCTATTGATTATGATTTAATAGATGAAAATATAACATATAATAATAAACTGTGATCATAGCAGATAATTTGCTATATATATATATATATAT